GAATTCACCTCAGTATCCTAAATGTAATCAAAATCGTTTGACCTTTCTTGATCAGATATATCTATTATCTACGAAAGTAAGGATCTCCAAACTGATATTTATTGTTTGTATACTAACTTGAGTGAGACTAATCGTATATATTGTATGAAAAGGATATATCCTTTTATAAAATGAAATTATTTCCAAGAAGAATTGAACTTTTTTGGTAACCATATCGTGTTCAAGAAGTTAGCGCTGAAAAATATTCTTCTAAACATCAGAATGTTCAGGCCAAACCATTTTGAGTTTTATAATCTAAGCTGTAATAAAAGTTGAAACTTTTGTCGGCGTCATCGTCATTTTAGTTAATCTCATGATAGAACACATAAGTAAATAATTTTAATCAAACTAAGTGTAGTGACCGCATAAGACTAGTTTACCAAAGCGCGTGACCAAAACACTTTTCTAAACCCTACTTTATAGGTATGATACAATTTGTTAATTCTGTATTATCAATTCTTTAGGTTACATATTTGACTTTGAAAATGTGAAAGTCATGTTTTGTGACTTTGTTGGATACATCATCTCGTAATGAACTCTGTTATTCCCTTTGAAATTTTAACATGCTTGTTTCAGACGTGGTAAACATTTACGCAACCAATTCCAAAGCGAAATTCTCAAACCATTTGTGGCTGGAGTTTGTCAACAACAGTATTACCTAATTTAGTTGTTAATTTACCTACATTTCGAGACGACCCTTTAGTCGGACCCTCTGGGTGATTAGTTTCAAGCCTTTCCCAACACGTCTCCAAGCTCTAAGTACCTGTCAATTGTTGATTGATGGTTACGGCTTCTACTAAGATGTTATTTTCTTCGTTCATCTTTAGATTTTATTTTTACCAGAAGTAGGTACCGATCCCCATGTTGAATACATAGATATTGAAATACACAATATCTCTATCCTCCTATAAACCGAAATATATTTTTATATTTATTCGTATGCCCAATAGTAGCGGTCGTAAAAAGTAGACCTTCGTCTAAATGACGGACACTTGGGAAGACAAATGACTATTTAACCGTTGAGAGAAATATAGAAAATAAGATGTAAGGAGAAAAGTTAAAAAAAATTTAGTTAAATTTGTGCATTATAGTACAGTTTTAACTTTTTTAAATTCTTCTTAACATACATATTGTTATAAAAATATATAAGGTATTGAATAAATAGTTTCTTATAAATGTTATTTATAAAAAATACTTATATTTAGGCTTCAAGGAACACCATAATAATAAAAAAAGATTGGACAAAGAAAAAAAGACTGGGTTGGTATCACAACTTAATCGACTATTATTTCACGTTCGTTATTATTTTAGGTTCGTTTTATCTTTAAAGTTATGCAACAAATAGTGAAGAAGACCTTCGGTACATCCGAGATGTACTATGAAGCGGATATGCGGAGTAAATCAATTTAGCTAGCGGTGCTGGAGCAAACAACAGATACAGCTTTTAGGTCTTAAAAGCTCTAGAGTATAGGAAATGCGCTTTCATGTCCTTTCTATCAGAAAAATCAGCAGAGGGAAATTCAAAATGTCACATTCTCCGAACTACGGCTATAGCCGAAAATTCTAATTTGTATAATGGTCAAACCATGGAAATAAATTAGAACACAGACTAGATGACTGAAAGACCAAAACTCGCGAACGCACTCTAATCACCACTTTCCAATTATTCAGATAATGTTTAATATAAAACATGTTCAAATACAAAGAATATTAGACGCACTTTACTTATAATAACTTTACGGTCTTATTTCATTCCTTTTATTATTTTACACGAATATCTACTAGATTTTAGATTGAATATGGTGGACACTTAGATCAACATCATCAAGTAAGTAAGTCACCATAAGTAAGTTATACGCAAGATGATAGATAATGCTCCAATGTATTTGAAGCACTTTGTCCACTAATCTATTTTGAAATTCTTCTCTCGTTAAATAAATCTACCTAGCAAAGTGATATTTCAATAGAATGCCCTGTCAATATTATAATATATTATGTGATCTAAATTAACATCACAGGTTTATCCTGCGATAAAAGTACGATTATTTTTATCATGACGCATCGTGTAATGTGCCCTAAATAGTCGATATCTAGCGCCTGTGACCTCATTTCCCGGTGGCAATCTCCCATCGCCTCACTTAGTTGTCCAACCGCTACTTCATATATACGTCAAAAGGCAAATATTAATATGTAGGAGCAGTTGTTGGCTATCTTCCGGTACTGATGTGATTCACAAAATGCAAGACAAATAAACTAATACACACTTATAGAACGTCGCCTTTTTTTTTAATGGATGATAATGGTATGGTACACCTAACTGCGTTATCAGTTTACGTTGGCGGGGCACCAGTGAAGGATGATAAGATGAGCATGAGGTTAGGTCAGTAAACCTGGATGGTTTCCAAAGGGAGCACAACCTGACATGGTACATTGCTAGCAATGGGGTCATCAGTCTACATTACTATATATATATATATATATATATAATTCCCTATCCGCTAACGTCACCTATTTAAAAATAATAATAACCCTGCGCCTAGTTAAGTCCCAAATTAAATAGAACTTATTTTATGGGTACTACCTACCTACTAGACAACTGATAGAAATACTGATGTGTACGAAATCTATATAAATAAATTAATAAAACTAACTTGATAATATTTCGATTATATTTAATAAAACCAGAAATCCTAAATATGAAACTCAGTTCATAACGAGTCGAGAAGGTACACCTTGGTAATCCTAAAAAAGAAATATATTTAAGTTTTATATTAGGAAAAATCTTATTGGAAATCTTGAAATTTTAACTCAATACACGAAAGAATAAGTTTTGTATCTGTATAATATACATTTTTAAATACTATAAAATTACTTACGTGCTTTTTACTCTCTTTGACAGATTTTATTATAAATTCTAAAAACAGTTAATAATGATATGATAATAAACGGTTACATTTCCAAAAAAAGGTCAAGAGATGTTTTTTGTAGCTCGTTATAGTTTGAGCCTAGATGACATGTATGGACTACCTTAGGTTATTATTATTTGTGTTTTGGTATTTGTTTTTTTTTATTCTATATTTACTTTCAATTATAAAATATTTTTTACACTTTACTCTATTTATGTTCTTGTTTATTTTAATTTCACAATATATTTATCACATTAATTGATAGCTCTTACAGCCCTGTTAACTTCAAAGCGATGCTTTTTGTTGAATTATGATAGATTGTAATAATGTTACGCGAGCGGTCACTTAGTGAAGAGCAGCTATATTTTTTTGGTTGTCTTTTTACAATAATTTCCTTTATATATTTTAGTCAATCTGTATTGCCTTTTAATTTATATATTAATACCTGAAGCACAATATGAGTGAAATGGAATACAAATTGACGATCCTCGTCATTGTAGGCTACAACCACGGACTGGATGGTAGGTGCCAATGACGTACTAACGCAAAACTGAGACACACTGTAAGTTGCTTTCCGATCGGACTAAGATGTTATGCCTTCGTACCCTGTGATTTCACTGCCATATCTCACTCTCCAACTAAAATACCTTACTAAGAAATGAATATTTGCTAGCTGAAATAGGTAAGAAAGAGATACCAATGGAGAGGATTTTTATACAACGTATTTCTCTGGTACATATGAACATTTCGTTTAACTTCTATTTTAGTCAAAGGGTAGGTAAACATACAACTCAGTAGCCATAAGTTTTTAGAAGCTACTTAGATATCTGTTTTGTGCAGATATTTATAAATATGAACCGAGATAACTGTACTAACACGCCATTAGTCTGGATACGGGTCAAAGAATCTGTGAGCAGTATCGCCGGCGGGGACGTAATCCATTGTAGTTGTATGAAAAGCCTTCGCAACTTCAGCGCCGTGTATATCTCCCCTGAGGCTATTAACACTTACATGAAAAATAGTTATTTATTAATTTTATTGTTTGCCCTAAAATTTGCTAACGCTATATTTGTAGCTGGTGAACATCATAACGATGTATTTCATTTTATAAAGTAATTACTTTAATGGACCTTTTCTGACCTACATTTATACTGCATAATAATAACCCGACGCCTTATATAAATTGTATAAATATACATAGAATTCAGTGTTAGGGAAATTAAAAAAAATTGCAAATATAGCTTACACTTATTTAAATGTTTATAAAAGTCGTTATAAAACTCGAAAGTCATGACAAAACACACTATGTATTACACATAGTGTGTTTTGTCGTGACTTTCAAGTATGTATTACACATAGTGTTTTGTCGTGACTTTCGAGTGTTTCCCAGTAGTGCGGTGACGGTGTACGTATAAAAAACTAAGAAAGTGGGTAGATAGATTTGTCTGCTCGTAATAGTTATTTGTATCAATCGAAATTTTTGTAATCCCGTCGAAATATCTTTAATAATATAATCACCATGATTATAATACATAAAAGTAATATCCCTTTTATATAATGTGTACAGATTTACTAATTATAGATAACTCAAAACGTGGTAAAATCCCGTGATTTCCTTAAAGTTATAAAGACCGCGACACTTTCTTATAGAATAGAATTTTGTTTATTCACTAAATTTGCCATTTTTATTCAATTTAATCATCATCTTCTTGGTCCTCGCCTTATCGTTACGTGAGGTCGGCTTGCCTAATCTTGAGGCACCATGATTTTCATGTTTCATAAGTAGTTATACAGGCGCAATTTTATTCGTCAGCATCGTATTTAGTAGACTCCATCCATCTCCATCTCTACATGATTTTTGAGTCTTGACAAAATATGTCTATACCACTTTGCCACTTCCTTTCCATACACTTTTAGATAGTAGATATTACTGCATAGAAATGCTTTACCTGCTAGTGTCGGATTTTATTCCTAAGGATAATTCCACCTGATCAACCATGCGCAATTTATTTTCAGATTAATTAATATATTAACTATATTTATTTTTATTTACAGAGCATCCTGTCCATCTTCATTGTTTCATACATGGGAAACGCTTCTCCAGGAAGTAGAAGCGGATGTGTTGGGATATAGTAATGCGGCAACATCTCTCGACAGGCTGGTAGCTACCCCGCTCATTGATCGTACATTTCATATGAAGATTCAAGCTCGGAAACTATTTGCTCATAGGGAAGGTTGTGAAGTAATATTGGGAAAAGCTGATGATCAACTAACGAAGGTGTGTGTTTGTACAATTTATTCAAATACCTATATACTCGTATATATCTTTCAGTAAATACTTATTGCATTTAAAGAGACAATGTAATAGGATAGCATAATAGTAAACTAACTATAGATTTGTATGAAAACAATAAATAACTGCCTAATGGGTTAGATCTAAAGAACATCGCTCCTTCTTACTTTTATTTCTGTTACTTCTTACCATACATAGATTTAATTTCCCGTACTATCTCTTCCTCGATCAGAAACCAGTTCCGTGCACTTGATCTAGCCAGCAAAGCCTTAGAGATCTTTTCAATTTTCATTTTGTCTTCGCTTGGTAGATGTAACAATCGTCTGTCGCTACAAAGACTTATCCCCCTATTTTTTGCGCCATTAAGAAAGATCATCGCTATAATATAAATTGAAAAGGTAAAATAGTACTTATGTAGATAAGTATTATGTTACCATTCTAATTATTTCTATGAATATAATTACAGTATCAACTTATTTTATTTACTGTCTGAACTCGAATTTCTATTGCAAGAATATTATTACTAGTTTTATTATTTCTAACGTAAACGAACGTAACGTGAGGTGTTTTTAATTAATTAATAAGTAACGAAAAATATGAAGAAATGAAATAAATATATATACCCTAAGATCCTCATCCGCTAAATCTAAATACAAATATAGAGAGGACACAGTCAACTAGTTTGTTTTTATCTTCTAAAAAGGAAATTACAATCACTCATGCATACATATCGCGACTGAAATGCGTAGGCGAAATGTTGACCTTCTTACGCATAAAAATATCCCATATAGCGCTAAAAATTCATATTGTTGTCCAGATTCCGTCTTCTTTGTCATCGTTTTCGATTTTATTTCAAATTACGCTGAAATAATATTTAATTCGCAATGAACTTTTAAAATGATTTCATAATATAACCTGGTGAAAATTTTCAACGATACTTAATTTCCAAATTAACTATATATTAGGCAAAAAAACTGGCATATAAATAGATAAATTAATTATGTGCATCTTGAGCATGTAGACAACAAATGAAATAAGTAAAATAATTTATAAAATGAACAATAAAAGAACAGTAATTGGTAGGACAATAAATTCTTTATTATCCGTATCTATACCGTCTACATAAATATATAGGTACTAAATTTACGAATTACTACTTTAAAATACTTAGATACGAAACCGTCCTACTCATATTTTTATAAAATCTGATAAGTTGTAGTAACTACACCAATGTATAACAACATAACTTTTTTCATTATATATCAGAAGTTACTATAGTTTCATCACTTACTTCCCCATTCTTACGACTAGTCATGAATAATTCAAAAGGATTTGCGAATGCTGTTCACTCTATAAAGCATTTACTGTCTTGCTAACAAGACAAAACATTTCGCATATTATATAAAAAGGAGCAAAAATTGTCTAACTTAAATTATTAATAAGTTTAAGCGCTCCAGATATTTGAGTTTCCGAAACGTAATACTCCCTTAATTTACGGATCCTTGAATTTGTCCTCGAGTGAGATAATTTTGTTTACTTCTATTCGCTTCATAATACTTATTTAAAATTGCAATTTGTTTACGTTACATTCGCCTCTGTGTGTACGATGTAAAATTTATAAAACGAAAGATAGAAAAATGAGAGTGTTTATTTTTAACAAACAGAGCGAGAGGTATTCACGAAAGAATCTATTATAAAAAAAGGCCAACCTTTCTTATGATTAATTATTTTTATATAATTGAAACATTTTATTTACAATTTCCCTAAATCCTAAAATGTATTAACTAACTAACAATGGAGAATTCAGACCGTGGTATCTATTAAAATCCCACAACATGTACTTTAATAATTATCTACTATTACTTACTTAATGTGTATAGATATTGTTATTAGTTGTAACAATAACAATATATGTAAAATATATTCAAAAAGGAATAATAAGGTATATACCATTTCAGGCCCGGCAAGAATACAGAGCGGCTTTCCTGAGCTACTGCAATAATCCAAATCCATCTGCTCTTGCCATTTACTACGACTCCCATAACACATATGTGCAACAACTGACTGCTACAAATGCTATGCTGGACCAGTACCACAAACATACACTGCCAACTATATTACAGGTAAAGTGTATACATTATTTATGTTTTTTTTTTTGGCGTTAGATTTAATGGGTTATGTAAGACCGATGCCTTCTGTGTCTACTATACAAGGAAGCAGGTCTTAAATCATGACTTTAATGTCTGGCTATTTGACCCATTGTGCTTCATTCACTAGCATATCATAAACATGATGATATCCAGCACTAGAAAGTTGACCTGAGCATACTTTAATGCCTCTAATATTTAAGACTAACTATTCCCTCTTTTCCTACTGTACAGTGTTAGCTATATTGGATATTTATCTACGTGCATTAAATGTTCATGAAGCAGTATAAGTTTTCCCAAGGTGCACGGCGTCGCTACTAGTAGGAATGGCAGTGTGTGCTTGCATCTAGTATTTGATATCATTACATTTTTCTGTAGAGTCTTAGATTTTTTTGTGATATCAACATCGATCATTCGTAATTTTTAATTAACACACAACACAAGTTTGATGTCAAAAGTTTTTAGGGCGGGAGGACATAGTAAAAACATATGAAACCATGACGCTCTAAAATAAGTAACAAGAAATACTATTATTTTGTATTTTTTGGGGTGATTCACACGGCGCCATCTAATCCAAGTTAAGGAGATTTTGTGTTATAGGTACTAGGCTACTTTTATGTGTACATATATTTTTTAATACATATATAATATATATTAAAAATAGCCAGACCGGTACAAACAATCACACTATTGGCAGTAAACCGGTGTGCTAAACCGCTCGACCACCGAAGCCCTCAATTAGTTGTATTAGTTTAGAAGAAATATATCATTAAATAAAAACTTATCAATGTTTAATCAATTACTTCGCAGTAAAGGCTGCAAAAAGTTACAGGAAAGTTATCCGATTTTGCTTACAGTTCCAACCTATTTCCGTTATTCAAAAACATCTATCCAACTTCGGTTGGAACATGAAATACGATAGAACTCAGAAAACTAACATGATTGCGATAGCCGCAACATCCAAACTAGGTTTGACCGCACAAAAACAATACATATAAAAATGTTCAGAACGAAATTGAATGAGTCCCTTGCCAATTCCACTTGACACATCGTAATCTCACACCACCTCCAATAAATCACTATAGTGTTACCGGACAAATAAATGATATCCGTTTTCAAACAACCAACCTAGTTTTGAAAATATATCTATGTATAAATCAAGAATATATTCATTGATTGAACGTAAGAGAAAGTACGTAGATAACGCATATATTTACTTGTGTTGTATTCCTACATGTTTTATTAATATTCATACTTTGTGAGTATGTTGAGATATTGTTTTGTAGGAACATAGAATGTATTTTTATTTTGAAGGACATATTTTAAAATATTTCTCGCGATAAGTAATAAATTTTGTTTTGTGTAAGCGTAAAAATATTCATATATTTATAATATATAATCCAATATAGGTTATGTATCAAATACCTAACTCATATAATAAATTTTGATTATAAATTGAGATTGTTCTGACGTAAAACTGAATTTCCTAAACATGCCTAATACGACTACTACTATTTAAATATGTTGGTAATGAAATACATTAGAAACTAGTTCAGAGTTTAATTAAATTGCCTGCGGACTTACAGTTGTCAGAAGTCAATTATTTAACAGAATAAATTACAATATACAGTGCTTACTTTTTTAAATTTTCTATAAGTATATGTTACTATTTATTATTCCAGGAATTAGAAGAAATTTTAACGGATGTTACTACAGCTGTCAGCGATGCCATTTGCCAGGAAGGCGAGATTATTACAGAAAAGGTAGATTTATCAATTGCCATTTCAGAATACGGCTGATTTATATCTAATGTGATTAAGAAAATATACTTGCCTAAAATAATCAATCATTCAGATGATTGGAATTGATGAGACTAAAAACTATGCTTTTTTATTTTCATCGAACTTCAAAAGAGTTCTAAGTATAATTACACGAGAAGTATTACAATAGATATTGATGTTGTTTTTTTAATGAAACATACAGTTGTGGGTATGTGCCATAGACCATATTTTCTTAACGGCAGTTTTGCATAATAGTTTCTTTGTTTCAATAACTAACAAAACAAGACGCAAGCAATATCAGTGTAATATCGATATTTAAACAAAGCAGCTGGTGTAATATAAAAATCCAATTATAAAGCTATTTTTGCCTTTAATAAAATATTGAATAATTCATTACTGGTTAAAAAGTCAGAATAAATGAATTGAAATGAATGAAACCATCTATAAAAATAAGTTTGACGCATTATTCCCAATCGACCGATGGCATTACGAAATGCGATACCAAAATGTCACATTGAGTAAAATACCTCTTATTCTGTATACCCGAGGGATATCCTGTAACCCTGTAACGAGATAAAGAGGATAAAATTATCTAATCTCCTTACAGTTTGTTATACTTAATTTGTTGTTGCTCACATTAAATTTAAAAATAATTAGTGGTGGTGAAAAAAAATTATAACACATAACATGTGTGTACACACATACTAAACATAGAAGTCTATTTGATAAATTCGGATACAAATAACTATTACCTCTGCTTTTTTAACAGTAGAATGATAGTTTCGTGTAAAAATCGTTTACCTGGGCTTTTTTTTTAAGTTTGGGTGAATTTATTATTTTTAATTACTTGTTTTACTACCTTATAAACATCTATTAAATAAAGTATATACAAAGAATAACAATGGAGTTACCATCAGATATACTCGTAACAAAGGCACAGCAGATTTTTATATGTGTAAATTGTGAGAATAAAAGCCTTTGATAATGCCAATCGATTTTATGGGTTTATTTTATGGATCAATCTCAGTTCAACAAAAAAGGACAGGCCGTACACTAAACTCTAATTAGAAACTAAAGCCGTGTATGAATGTGTGAGTAGTGTTGTAAACACTTCCTGTGTTACCGTGTTATATTTTATATTATGATAAGTAAATTGTCTAGGGTACTTACTGATTTAAATTTAAATTCCACCTAATCCTAACAGTATCAAATAAAATAATTTAGTTTTATATCCACTATGCACTTTTTTTGTTTTTTTTTAATTATGAAAATATGATCTATGTATTATGTTTGTTTTATTATTATTATAAAGTCAGTTTTAATAAAATTAATTGTGAAAAATGAAATTAATTTTATTGATAGCATGATTTCATTTCATTTCAATAATCATACTCATGATTACAAGTGTTTGTACCTTGCTAGGAATCGAACCCACGACTATCGGAAATAAGGCAGTGTGGTAAATCGATATTTAATATTTATCTAATTAATTTCATTACTCCACAGTCAAACACTCAAATGCGTCGCTACGAGTCTTTGTGTGCACAAGCCCGGGCGGTATCCAGTACCGCAGATCTTGCTCATTTGGCCCGAACTTTACTAACCATTCAACCACCGATGAGACCACCAAAAAGGCAGTTCCTACCACCGTATCCACCGGAGCCTGAAGACCCACCGTTAGATGTTCCTGCGGTAATAAATTTTCAGTCTTTAAATAATTCTTTCTATTTTAATTTATAATTTAAACGACTGAATTGGTAAACTAGCTGGCAATACACTAGATGGTATGTAGTATCCATCGCCAATGGACATGAACAGTACCAACCAAGAACATCTGATTTTGAACCCTCATGCATTATTATTCCGGAGATTGGTGTACTTTCATGCCCTATAATTTCACTTCCATATCTCTACCAAAACACACCTTAGAAAGCAACACACAAAATCTGCCACGTCTTTGTACAAAATCTACCTCGATAAAGTTATTTACTTTATAAACTGTAACATAAACAGAGAGAATTAAAATTCGCAGCAATCCATCCCTGTCTGTGATGGATCGTTCGCATCAAGATTATTTGTATTGATTCAAAACAGAGCTACGAGTAATCAATCATCGAACCATTATTTCTATCAAAATTAAAATTGAATTATTTTACTTTTATTATTATAATTGCGAGCGTATGTAAGTTTTTTTTCATCTCTATGATATCACTACATTATCATTCCAATACCAGCATTTTATCCAAGGAGAAGTATGAATTTCGTCTGTTGTAAAACAAAATGAGTAATAGATACGTATGTTGTACATAAATCATACATATCTGTAATCATAATCTATTTTCATAATCTGTATATATAAAAGAATCTGGATTATACTGGAAACAATTAGAAAATTAATCAGTGTATTAATTGTTACACAACCTATTTCTGTATAAAATATTTCTATTTACGAGTACTTTTTTACCCTTAAGTTGCCACCGCAATAGGAAATTGATAACAGGCGCAGTTGCAGCGGTACGAAGTCGATTCTAACTTCTTATTATATTTTCTTTCTTAATATCATTTATCTATTATTGAAATCCATACCATATAAATCAAATTAAAAATAAATTCTTTTGAGTCTATAATACATGTTTAATTATGTGTATTACGAGTATAGCTATAATATTATAGTCGCTATAGTATTTATTTTTAATTTGATAACTTAATTTTACAATACATAATTTATACCTTGTACATACATATTTTTCCAAGGTAGATTTGGTACAAAGTCATTTACGAGGGTATATGTTTCACCTATTTCAGCACCATGCAGCTTCCTTTGTAAGATGTATTTCGGTTAAAGGGATTGAAAGGCATTGAAATACGGGATACAGAGTCATAACATCTTATTATTCTGTAATAGTAGTCCGCGGGTATTATAACACTATTATGTCCGTTAATATATTTAGAGGCCCGTTACCACTTACCATCACGTAAATGGTCAGCTGTTTGCCATTCCATTTACATTAAAAATAATAGGTACAATTATAGGTAACGACGGCCTTAGTAGTCTAGCAGTTTAGCACACCGCTTTGCTTCCAATAGTCGCAGGTTCGATTTCTCGCACATCTGGGTGTCTTCTAGGTATATTAAATATGTATTTACAAAAAATATATATATTTATATCTAAATATACACCAGCTATGCTTACCTTGGAACTAAATAGTACTGTGTGAAGTATTCAGGGTTATTATTATTGATATTATTTTTCTTTGGTTACCACAGGAAAGTATGCCTCCAGTTCTTCGTGGAGAAATGCTGCTCGATCGGATGGGCGGCCAAGCGCGGCTAAACTACGACCAGTTGAGGAAAGACGCACAAGATCTCGATATTCAAATAAAACAGTTACAGGTATAAAATATATAAAATTCAAATTTAACAGGCATAATAATATAGTACTGTTATACCACATGGGACAGTCAGAAGCCTAGTTCGCTGTTGACTTTGTGGTGAACTATTATAATTTTAAATGACAATTATATGTGTGTACTTTCAATAATTTACTACTACATAATTACCTACTGTGAAAAATAAATAAACATCCTTATACCTGCTCAAATTTATACTCAGTATTGGTACTAACAATATATAAGATAAATTATATTATAAGACAAAATAAATACACAGCTTACCCGTACGTAAGTAATTGAATATATTCTATACTTAAAGTTACTTTGTTTGTATGCAGCATTGGTATACAGTATTATATTAATTGTCAGTGTATATAGCACAACTTTATTCCTATTCATATACGATTATATCATCTAAATATCTACTGCAATCATAATCTTTAATCAAGTTTATTTATGGTAATCGGTAACCGTCGCCTATATACATTAACAGAACTATGGACGTCACGTTATCATGTTATACCATGATACCATTCAGGCGATTCCATTACAGAGGACTAAAATCTCATGCCTGTTTTCCTAAATTCACTCTGCACCGAAACACAGCTTAAAGAAGCTGCCACTTGGCGGATTAAATAAGTAAAATAGGCGCTTCATTATGGCTGCACTTACAAGTTGACGAAAATCTAAACTACAATAAAAAAAGAAAATAAACCACGCAAATGTAACTAAAGTACACATGAGTCAAGTATATATTACATTTCACAGGATAGTCTCGACTCTTTGGCCCGCCTCCAAAACCGAAGTCTTGAAAGCAATATGTACAACAAAGTGAACGAGATACAGGTAAGTTAAACAGATACCACAACAGATATCAAACATCCGAAACCTACACCGCAAACTCTTGTCGGTAGAGTATAAAATGTATTCTGAACTGGAATGTGACTGAAGTGACGAAATAAATAAAGTTTAATATAACAATACAAATTTAATATCTATTTGTTTTTCACATTGTATTTTATATTTGCCCTATATAAAACTTACTCATATGCAAGATTATATAGACTTGTTTATCCTAGAACAAAGAAATCCTTATCGTTTTCGTGTGCGTCAAAATTTTATTTTATCTTAATAAATTACTTATTATTAGCTAAATACTTTTTTTACATTATATTGAAAAATTTAAACCTCATTTGCATTAATTATGTTCGTATCTCGGCGACTTACTGATTTTTCTGTTTATTCAACCAGTTATCAATACAATATTACTTTTCATATTAAATATTGGTACGTATAATAGGGGATTAATTCAATTGCATAGGCAGTTACGAAATTCTTTTTCGTGTTACCTATTTAAAATCACTCACTCAAACCAAATATTATTCGATTTATGAAGTCTGGCTTTACATCGCTGATATTTTGACCGGAAGGGCCGACATCATCAGAAAACCATTGGACCGTATGGAAAACCGGGCCCTTATTTTTTCCTTCGGTGTTTATCTCCTCGGGTTTCATTTTCCCTTTTATCTTCCCAAAATAAAGTTATTATAAACTTGTATTTTTCTTTTCAGTCGTCTACCAAAATCAAAAACTTTTCAATTTAACAGTATTTTGTTTTACTATTAGGATTGCACTGTCTTAGATGATTCCTTTTGGAGTCCAATTTGCTCTCGTATTGGTTCTGCATTAATTTACTTTAATACCAAGAAACGATTAAAATTTATTTTTAGGGAACATACCATATTTATGTATTAAAAGCACCAACAACAACCAACGCCTATAATCATTGGAACGTAACATCATTAAAATTTTACGCTCAGATTGAAATTTGGCAGTCATGAAAATTTAAGCTGTATTGAGTCAGAATTACTGGTATTCTACTTTGTTATTATAAACAGGCAAAATCATGTTCTACATTTTAATTGGCGGAATTTGCTTTAGAATTACACTCCGTATTGTTGTGCTAATGATTTTTCTATGTATGTTACGGGAATTGGAATTGAATATGTATACGCTATCAGAATATTGATTATTCTGGTAGCTTTCATAGTCTCCAAATCGTATATATTATGGAACTAGTAGTGCGCTCGACTTCGTCCACGTATATATTTGTAGACGCCAAACAATAATACAATCCTATTTATTGTTTTATTAATAAATTCATTTACAATGGCGATGGCGTAATTTAAACTAATGAATAATAAATTTTCCCTTATTTTTTTTTATTTTATATGTCGACCCATATTTTCCGTGAAAACTTTATTCTAATTCCTCCAACCATTTTACGTGAAGGCCAACATTAGGTACGTTAAACATTCGTATAAAAATAGATAAATATATCTATTCAATTAAAAACAACTGTTTACAACGCAATACGACTGTACATAGTTAATTACATCTTTTTTTTTAAATATTAACGTATTCTTAAAATACTTTGTAAACTATATACTCGCTATAACAAAACGATACAGATTTATGCCTGTGACTAGAATTGCAGATTAATGCTGTAATAAAATGTCGTTTCAATTGTCTATCAAACTGTTATAAATATACAATTCGCAATTGAAAACTTGTAGCGACATCTACCACCAAATTAGGTGACTTAAAAATAGCGCACAGAGCCATCTATCAGATATTGTATAGAGAATTAGAATAAAAAACAAAAGCACAGATTAGTGAGCAATAGTATCACTTTCGTAACTAAATGATGTGTGAAAGTAATATAGATGTCTATTTGTCAATTACTATAAAATTCGTATAAATAATTATAATTAAAAGCTTATCGATTCTGAATGAAGTATGTGATATTAGACATTGAAAAATAATTTAGATAATTAAATTTAATATTCCGCTTTGACGACAATGTAATTATGCACTCTACTTGTCTTATCATTCTGCTGGCTATTTCCTTTTAGGGCTTTAGCTAAAAAAGGCCTATTCACCCATACGTGTTTTACGAGTTATAATATTATGTTGTCGCCTACCCACCCAATACTATTTTTATGTTATTATAAAAGAAGACTTAAAGTAAGCAAGTCGGTACATGAAATAGTAATAACTCAAAACAACACACACAGCGCCATCTAGTCCCAATTTAAGCAGAGCTTATGTTTTGGATACAAAACAACAATAAATATATATTTTTTGTAAATACATAGATACATAATATGCATAGAAAACATCAAACCGATACAAACAATCACACTCATGAATACAAATGTTTGTACCGTGCGTGGAATTGAACTCCTTCTAAAGCATATTATCTTATCTGTGATCTAAAGTAAGAAGTAAGTAAGACGGAGTGCTAGACCACCGAAGCCGTACAAATGTAATATTTAATAAACAATAATAAAATATTTATTTTTATCAGGAGGAAATATCTGTAAAGAAGTACGACTACAGAGCAACACAACTACATTTGGCAGCAGTAAGAGCTCAGGTAAGAATTTTAATTTTATAGTACAAACGAAATAAATAAATGGTTATGGTCATACTATATAGCACCATTTAGTACAAAACTAAGCGAAATTTGTAGTTAGACAACTGACATGAATATATTTTTATTATGAATTTATAAATGACAAATTTTGACTGTGTATAAAATGTTTTCAAAGTAGACATTTTTCATAACTACTTTGTTAAGAACGGAATCATTTAGGTTTATTACTATCTCTACAAGTATTTTTCCTATTTTACATAGATCGTTATGTATTTATTTACAATTAGTAATAATAGTATTATTATTTACCATATAAAAAAGGTAGTTTCAAAAATAGGCAATTCCAAGTTTTGTTCTGGTTTTCGAAGCAGACAGATTGGTTTAGTTAGTATTATTGTTGACTGGGTATGTTATAGCACAGTTTTACAAGGGATATAATACTGTGTGTTGAACGCAAACAGTCGACTTTCCCGCGCATTTTGGACTCCAACGTGGCAGGGGAGTATCGCCATCTCTCAGATAAACCCGGTTTGTTAACTATGCCTGATTGATTGACGAACAAAGAGTTGGTAAGCAACACAGGTAGATGTACTTTTTTAAATCGTCCGAATGAATAGCTTCTTTCTTTTAATATAGATTATATAAATATTAATTAATTCTTCTATTCCATCGGAATTCGTAGTTAGAGGTAGGGTATGTAGGAATGTATAGTGTAATAAATATTATTTTAAAGCAGTACTGTCGTAGATTGAAGTAATGTGCAATTATAACAAATGCCTTCAAAATACCTTCTTAATTCTATATACATATAACATTATGTCTATCAAAATGTTTGCATGTAATCATGTTACGTGTATCAACCATATATACCTAAGTAGGTACAAGTATATTGATTACAATGTGATGGAATTTTTAGACGGGGCAGTATGTGCTTATTATAACTGTTATAGCACCTACGGGAAAACATCGAAGATATGCCCATAATATTTAGAGCTAATACTTAAATCTTAATTCCTATAACAAATAATAAGCTATCGTCATAATGATTTTTATGATTTAAAACTTAGTCATTTTCTAGCCAACTATACTTTTTTTTATAAAATTTGTGAATGTCAACATATTGGATATTATAACAGTACAGACACATTTCTAAAAATCTTGTCTATACCTAATGATAATCATTAAGGTACCTACTAACTGTGGCCATTTCTGTCCCATCTCAGAAATCCACCTTGTATTAACTTCCTAGTATTTAGCAGAATAGTGATAGAATTCTTTTTTAATGTACACTTTCATCTTTTATGTAATTCTAGGCTATGCTGCAACGTAAACAAAAACATTTTCTAAACGTGAGTGTAAACAAATATTGTTACTAGGTGCCGGTATATTGCGCACGCCTATTCTTAACTAGATAGTAGTATATCTCTATAGACATCCATATTTTGCACATGCGGACTGTACACCTCTGACCCAATCAATACATTTGAAAATACCCGCCATTTTATATTTCTACATATTTCGTCTAATAACATTCATACACCATCATTTAATATACTTATTCAATGCATATGTAAATATTATTCTCATATTTAGTATTAATTTACTAAGCTTATTAAATATTTTTTTAATGTTTCCTATTTTTATTCAATAGTATATTTACTTTGATATGTTATGCATTTTAAAATAATAATTAAATTAAGTTATACTTAACTCTATCTAGACTTGTATTTGTATTGTAGTAGTAATAAAATTTAGTGCTTTGGCGTGAGCAATAGATACCGCATTGCGCACAGCTTCCCACTCAGTCTGAGAGGAGATCTCGTGGACCGACATAACCTACGCGCTCGTTACGGTTATCCAAAGCTAAGCTTTGATTACAAATATCAACAAAATTTGCCAATTTCTTTACAATTATTACGTATTTCCGTCCAGTATTGTCATTATAACGTAAATTCAAAGGTTACAATCACGGATAAAAAACGAAAAATCAAGTATCGTGCCAAAATGGGGTGGATTTCTATGAAAAATCACATCGTAAGTTATTATACTCATATCAATGTTATAAATTTCATTTGATACCCAAATTAATACAATGAACAAGGCAGCTCCCAAAAAAGACAAAAATTTTGGAGTATGTATATTTTGAGACTATTTAAATATGTGTATAATTTACATAATAATAATTATGTGCCTTAAATCAATATTATATAGTTTATCAGGTACGTTATGTTACCTTTATTTGCCGTTATACTGCGATGTGGTTGCACTTATGCAAACGTTTATTAGTAGGTACTTGATACTTTTTTCGTAAATATATCAGAGTTATTAAAACTATACTCCTATATATATACCTACGCTACGTCACGGCTTGAATTATTTCTTCGAAGGTCGTGCTGTATATAAGAGGCAGGCATTATTTGCCGATCCTACACAACAATAAAACAAACCTAATTTACTGTGATATATCTATTACTGTGTAATACTTTGGTCACAGTGTGGGGTCTTAGCGGGTAGCCATCAATGCACAATCCGGTCGCGTATTAAAAAAGTTTGAAAGTCATTGGTAACCTATAGATATAGGTATTATATAACAAGTTATGTAAGTATGCCATAAATAATTGAAACTGGTTCAAATCAATTGTAGTACATATTTCATTTTCTTTTACATTACACGTACCTACTTATATTAATAATAGAACTATTCTTTAAAATAAAATGACAAACAAGGGAGCCCTGATAAAAGTGGCAAACGTCGCCTATAAATAAACAAAACCACGGACGTGATGATGTCCTGTGACCCATGATGCAGACTAACATGTCATCTCTCGATACGCCGTATACTATAATATAATGGCCACTTTATATTTCAAACCGACAAAGCAAGCTGCATCACTTTGTAAAAAATCAGAAAAGTATTCTGGCAGAAATAGTTAAAACAAGGGTGAGGCACCGAGGCAGCCGACTTTTTATACTCTACGTCTCATATTTCTTATTATAATAATACTACTAATATACCAACATAAAAACCTCTACAAATCAACCAGGGTAATTTGTTATCTAAGATTTTTTTACTGATGAAGATAAAATAAAGCTAATAGAATACTACTGTTATCTATTTTTATGCATAGTCACTGCCACTGCTTCACCAGATCAATACACGTACAACCACAACAACTCGTATTTGCACGGTAGTGTCTTCAACCAAATAAAAAAAAGTTTTTGTGAATACCGTGTACAATTTAGCGCTATAATGTGCTAAATAAAAAAACACAAGAAATGTTTCGTATTTTAGTTTACCTCAAATTCGCCACCACTATCGCTTATCTAGCGCTTCTAATGATACATAATTGTAAGCGTTTATCATTTATAACACTTTATAAATATTATGTCTTGCTATTATGTAGGAATTTAATAATTGGAATCTCTCAAACCGGACGATGAAGTAGGTACCTACAAAGTATCTATCTGTAAAAGACAAATACCATTTGACAAGAAAATCGATATCTAATGATCTAAAAAAAATTGTTGTTTGTGTATTAATAAGAGTTAATGTCTAGAATCTAATTCTTATTGGAATGACACGCTTTCATTTTTATTATCTAATAGGTCACAGGTAGTTATTAAAAATATAAGACAATAATTATGATAATAGAGAGTCCGCATTCTCTAATGCATAGGATTACCGAATGCGGAGTCTCTATAATCATAATTAAACCTGTGCCCGAGACTACGTATCACTATAAGTTTTAAGTTTTTTAACCAATTAAGTAGAATAACGTAGATAAAATGTTAAGTGAACCAATATATAAGTAAAAACCGCACTCAAATAGGTGGTGTGTGTTAACCTATAAGATAAAAATTGTAACTGTCATTAGTTTGGGTTCTATTACTTTAATGAAATCCCCTGATATTTTTTCACATACAGATTCTCATTCAGAGATCAATTCCGTATATTTTTATGATATATATAGAAAATGAAAATGAGAATCTACATATATTACTTTGGTGAGTTGCATATGTAGGTATGTGGGAGACGGACTTTTATTGCATTCAGGTCCTACGTATTGAATATTTGTAATATCCAACACAAAGTGAAATATATTTCTACTATGCCTAACACGGGCATAGCTAGTAGCAATATATTTGTTTCTTGAACTTCACACTTTTGAAATTTATACGCTATGTGTTATTCTGATGTATAAGATATATAATAATGTACAGTTTCAGCAAAATCCGTTCGTGAAAGAGTGATAAACATCCATCCAAACTGTGAAAGACTTACAATATTAGTAAGAGATTTTTATATATTAAAAATAAATTTAATAATTTTAGTTTTATGATGTAGGATCTATAGCTATATTATATACATCATGAGTTATTGTGTGTATCGATAAAATTGAAAATTTGCTCCACATATGATCTTACAGAATGTTACTTATGCTTCCTGATTTCTAATTGTTTATAATGATGTTGTTTACTAGTAATTTAAAGGTACAGATACTTCTACCTATTCAATATTAAAACGTTTATTATACGTGTATTTAATACTGTAAATAATAAAATAAATATTTTTTTTTAATATTGTAGTCATTATTATACTATTGACAATAGATTGGTAATATTATCAATTCTGGTACATAAATAATAAATACTGAGATAAATCAATACAAAACAGGTATGACAATACACTAAATATAGAATATGATGTGGATTTTTATCAAAATGAACAGTTTATTTTTCCTTATCATGAACGCTTCCTTAATTATTTCCCGCCCGTGGGCTAGCTCAGCCGGCTGCGCCCCTCGTGGACGAATTTGGAACTATTTTGCGTCATGAATACTACTCTGTGAAACGCGTGTATCGTGTTTGTATTCGTGAATTTATATTAATAAATACTTTCTTGAAGTGCAAAGTGAGCGACTCATAAAAGGATAAACAGTATTATACATTTCTAAAGGTAAGTTTTTTACTGTAAATCTGTATGGTTATGTAATAGGAATTGACTTTAAAGCACTATTGATGACGAGACATATTCGTTAGACAAAAATCAAGATTATTTGCTTGTACAGAATAAACAGCAATTGATAGACAGAACATTAATCAGTTTTATAAAGAATTTATAATGTTTTTCAATTGTAAAATGAAATACTTTAATGATCTAAAATATATAACCTCAAAATATTTTTATCTATTTATCGACAAGATTGTGATTAGCTACTATGTAACGTATTAAAATAAACTAACTTACTTGTTTAATACTTTGTAATTATAATGTACGTTCCAAAATAAGTTTTTATTACGTACTTTCTTATTTTCAAGACTAAAGTAAGTCTAGAATAAGTTGTTGACATTTTAGGCGGGAAATTTTACGTACTGCTTGTATCTCGTTTTGCGATGTCTGTAACAAGTGACCAATAAATTATTCTGTTCTTTTTGCAGGTGATATGGATCAGTTATTTATTTAATGTCTTTATGTTGGATCATCATTTCAATATAATATAAGATGAAGACATCAACTCTTGAAAAATCACTGAAAAAAAATGGATATCATTCTGATGATGACAATGTTAGATATAAGTTAAATACAGACTATTTTAATAATATTGCTAAATCACCAACTAAACCTTTAAAAAAGCAGGAAAAGTCAAAGAGTGAAGATGATGATATACGCTATAAATTTCCTACAATCCTGTCTAGACCGAAAATAGATCAAAAGTCAAAACCAAAACCTAAGATAAAGGTAAATTTCTGGAGCAATAAACAAACAGGTAGCCGCTTACATAATACTGAAACTAAAAGTAAGACAAATCGCAGACATACTGTTGGTTCAACATCTACTGAGACTGTAGTGGTAAAACCAAAAAATTCTGGTGTCAAAGTCTGTAAACGGGTATCATTTCTGCCTTCACCATTGTTTTCTGATAACCATGTACCAATGGTAACCGTACCAGATGATTTAACAATACAACTAAATGAGGAAGAAGCTAATGACTTGGGTGAAGATTTAAACCTTGCATTTGTGAATAGTGATAGTAGCACAAATGAACTTTCCACATCACGCAAACCAAGAAGTTACACTGCACATACACAAACAAGTCCTAAGGGCACGAAACGTAAAAGAAGTTTAGATGATTCTGGACCTAAAATTTATGGCAATGACAATGAACTGGAATTTTTCTCAAAGTATGTGGTGCAAAAATTGAGAAGAATGGAAACAAATCAGCGTATTTACTCTGAAAACTTGATAAACACTGTCCTCATGTTGGGTCAACTTGGCAAATTAAATGGCAAAACAAAAATAACAGAAGTATAGTTGACATATGTTTGTAGTAAAATATGTAATGTAAGTACATTGGGTCTTGTTTGTTTGTAAATAACTTCTTATCTGGAATCTTTAATTAATGACTATGATGTACTTAGTATGTCAAAGACTTCATTGATTTCTTTTTTGCTTGTGAAATTTTTCTAAGAATGTCACCCTTATCTAAAGTTTAAAGTTTTGGCAGGCACCTTAATAAATTTTTGTTTATCTTAAGTAAATATAATTGTTTTATAAAAATAGTAAATAATTGATACCCTTTACTATAGCAAATAATATTTTAATATTATTCTGTGAAAAATGTAATTTGTACAATTGTCTGATACTAATGATTGTTGTTTCAATGTGTACATAATGGCTAATATCTTGTTTTAGCCTAAAGTGATTATGCTCCATGTTATTTACAATAAATTATATATATATATAAGTACATATCAGGTATTATGGATAATAAAATTGTGTTCAATGGATATAATAATAGGGTAATTTAGTGTAATATATTGCACCAAGTAAACATGAAAATTAAGTTTTGTTTCATAGACATAGGAACTATTTGTTAATAATTGTATCCATATTAATATTATGAATGTAACAGGACCATTTGTCTGTTCCTCACATTTTACTCCAAAATGAAAGTATTTTTTTTTATTTGGTGTAGGGATAAATTCAGAAACCCATAATTTGGTAAGTTTTGGTATGATAATGAGTTTTTTTAACAAATTTCTACCGAAGTAGTATTCATGTGGTTGGCTTTCGGATATTACTGTATTTCATGTTTTTGTTTTCATGATGCATATTAAAAAGATGTCAATTTGTTAGGATAGTAATAAATATATGTTTATGATAATCACATATGGGACAGATTTTACATATATGTTACCAAGAAATTTTACTTTTTTTTACTTAGAGCAATGTTTTCTCTTCAACATTAGAATAAAAGTCCTATTGGATATATTTTTGTACAATTATCCATCCTGTTGTAATATAAATAAAAATATTCATTTAGTAGAAGCACATTGAATATAATTTTGTACGCACTGCAACTGTTGTAAATCTATATTGTTTTACTTACATAGTATAATTACATATAATTGCACAATGTTAGAGATGAGAATAGCATATAACAGTGCAATTACGAACCAGAGATTACTTATTTACTGTGATTTTTTTCACATGAGTAGCAATTTTTAATGGTTAATTTGCCATTTTTTTGTTGCCAATGGTGCTTGGATATAAATTGTACGAAGGTGCTATTACGCAAGAAAATTCATGTCGCCATGGTTGACACCAGTGCTTCTTCTGGCGTAAGTGGCTTTTAGTAATCATTTACTATAGGTATATAACATATGCTTGATTGTCACTTGTTACTAAAATAAAATATAAATACATTAGTCTATAGTAAAAATACCATACCATACCCCATTAAGAATAAAACCTATGGTGGTAATTTATTTAATATGGATGCAAATTAAATTGTTTTCACTCTTTGTTGTAATCCCTATCGGATTAAATAATCATGTTAAAGCCAATCTTGTCTGTGATTTCATTGTTCCGTATTTTGTTTATTATTTAATACAGAACATTAAATACGTTTGCTACATTGTATGTAATTTGTAAGAAGCAAAGCAATTTATTACTGTTGTTGATTAAAACAATCAAATTATACGTATTTACATGTTTTGTTGTTATAAGCTCAAAAGTGTAGTTTTCCGATATACCTAGTTTTGTGCTTGACTTAATCTTTAAAACAAATTTATTTATATTTGTGAGATTGTATGAACATAGGTGAATATATTCACCTTAATATATTCTACCAACAATTCTTTGATATTTTATTGCTACTCATTTAATTTTAACCTTTTGAAAAAAATAAAAAAAGAACACCAACTTCAATGGAGTCAATTGAATATTAAAACCGACATGGAAGTAAACCCTATTGTTTACAATAGGAATTCTTGTACTGTATTGACTAAAATATAGCGAAAGGTATAAATTAGGATCAATTTTTAATTGTTTCAAAATACGAAACGTCTTTCTGACGACTACACAGTTATGTATTGCTGTTTCTCTTATTTCAAATATTCACGTATTTGCCATGTTACATATTCAATAACTTGCTCATACGTGTTTTAGATTACTATCTACAATTCAATAGTAGGTACTTAACCAGAGTTAACCAAGTTGCTACTACATGTTTAGGTACGTAAAGTTTTCTATATACTATAACATTGCGCCGTAACATCTGGATTATTGCCAAGCTTTCTTCGACTATACTCGACACTATATTATATTATGTGTAACATTGGCAGCAAATCCCATCAGTATTTACCCATTTAACCGCCCTCGAATACTGCGTCTAACGCTTAATACATTAACTGTATATATGTGCCAAAGCCATGTCTCTAAAGCCTACAATCCCCTTCAAATTTAGACTTTCAGATCAGCTAGGTATTGCGTGTTGTTTGCTAGCGGTTGCCTGGCGACGCGAGAACCGCCGCTCTACATCCGGCGCCCTCGTTCGTCCCAGTCACGTCGCGCCCGCCCTTGCTGGCGGTTCGGCCGATCGAGATATACCCTTCCAAATCATGTAAACTTCGATAACGTATCACCCGGCGTTTTTACCTTTAGAAAACAATACTCATTTGATCAGCCATAAGAAAAAGATATTATTTCTTTTGTAAATTCGTCTTCCGTCCTTGACCACGAAATAATATCCCTAACAGTTCTTAATATAGTTTTAACCAATTTAAAAGTTTGAAGTTACAAGTTTGCGTTATTCAAAGACTTCTTAACCGACAATGGATCTAGTTCACCGATTACATTATTTAGTGCTATCTCAAAAGTCAGACCTTATGACTATGGAAAGAGAGCAGAGAATGCGCGTGAGACGGCAATCCAGCCTTCCTGATTATAGCAAAGCTAATAAAACAAGGCAAAGACTAGAACAAGTTTATTTTAATGATGTGAGTATTTATATTTATGCTTTTCTTATGGACGATGATCATATAAGTACCTGTGTAATATTATTTTCTTGTGGTATGATGCTCTATTTGATACCTACCTTTTTGTTAATGTGGTTGTATTGAAAAATGATGAACATAAAGTTAGGATAGTTAATATTTTAAAGAATTTACTAGTAATTATAACTTGTAGAGAATATCATATACCTACATAAGAGTCACCCCTCTTATTTTTACTTAGTCACAATAGATTAAGTAATAAAGACGTATGAAATGGAATCTAGACTACTTTCAAAACGAGTAGATTTATCTATGTCAATAATAATAAGAACTCATATTAGATATTTTTAAAAGACTTATACGTACCTACCAAAAAAGATTTGTTAAAAGGTTAACATACTTTTCACATTTTATTTGTAAACGAAAATGTAAAAAAAAATATTGATTATTTCAAAGGGTATAAAACCTGTCTTTAAAAAATAAATTTATAAGTAGAAAGATATACTCGTTACATACTCTTATGTGTAGACATATAGCTGTACTTTAGTAAACATATAATAGAGAAGACTAGCAAAAAAAAAAAAAATTACTAAAACAGTTTCATAATCTAGTCTTGATAAGATACTGAATAGTTACTTCAAGTCGGTACATATGAGCATGAAAGGTTATTGAACGTCTAGAATCAAAACAAATTCTGAATTTATATAAAGGTATCTAAGATAATGGCTCAATTCAATTTATTTTGTTAAAAAAGGACACCATTTGTAGATACTTTTTGCGTACCTACTCAAAAAAAAAATGTTATAAGCTGCTAACAAGTCATTAAATAGTTATATGTAAGTATATACTACATTCTGACATCAAAACGTATTTACTATAACACAAAAATGTCTTGAATAAATAGTTGTAAAGAAATGGCATGAAAAAATATCAGCATAGATAGGTGGTTTCGCCGTCAGTGCCCATCCGCAAAGATAAGCTTTATGGTTTCTCTTTTATTTGGGCTTGACACGAATCTCGACCTCTATCTCGATGCAGTTAAAATATTCCAACTGGTTCACGAACGATTTATAAATCTAGCAACAATCAACGTACTATGTAGGCAGCTACAGAAATGTTATCGGAAACGTGACAAGTTGAAAAATAAAACACGCATGGAAAAGGTTTACTTTGCTACCTACTACCTACAAGCACGCACTAAGTAGTAATAATATTGAATATATGGTTAGTTATACATATTATACAGTTTAACATAAATACATGCTTATATATATATATAATAATGAATCGGGAAAATTCACGCAACACCATCTAGTCCCAAGTTAAACAGAGCTTGTGCTATGGATACTAAATAACTGATGGAACTACTTAAATATATTTTGAATACATACACTGGTTCATATCCCATAATTTATTTTACAATTCATTCTAATTGGTCCAGTTTTTAATGCTTAGATAAAGGAATATAAAACTTTATAACACTAAAACCTGCATTTGAATATATATAGGCCGATTATATTGACAAAGCTATTATAGGTATACTTTTTGATGCTTAAAATAGATATAGTTTAATTAATAATAGTAGGTACACTACTATTAATTGAAACTATCTAATACACTAGTGTCTCAGCGACTGCGTTCGCGTGTTAAGCCCGTCCTATTTACATACCACATAAACTTAGTGGTAAATTTTCCTGATGTCTTAATAAATCTTTCGCCTACCTACATTTTACCACCTGCTTCTATTTTCATACAAGACGTTTTCACATTTTGTAGCTATGAAGAAACTAAGCAAATGTTTATTGCGAATGAATTTGTTATAAGAACTCACTTGTAAGGCAAAATATAAGTATGCTTCATTAGTAGATGCCTAATCCTTACCTGGAATAATAAGTACTTAAATACTTTCGTAAGTAGGCCTAATTTATAAGATTTTTCTATATATATATATATATTTTACCTGCGATTTCGTCTGTTATTTTTTTTTAGTTGATAAATTAACTATTTTCTATTTTTATTTATAACAACTATAAAAACGCTCTTTATTTCGTAGTTTGCTTTTGTATTTTGATTTTTTATCTCATTCCTTTCAAATTCCAACTAGCTAGAATAAAAATAAAATGTTGGATGTTGTCAAAAGTATTCAAATTCCTTGATTTGCATCACACAGATAAGTACCCACCTAGATGCCCACCGGAAAAGGAAGAATTATTTAAACATCTTAGATTATATAATGCTTTGTGGTACGTAGGTATTTTATTGGTCTGCCTATTAACAATTCTCTGGGTAAAATGTTTTGAATTTTCCAGAACATAACTGAAATTTGTGTTTACCGCTTCGGTATATGGAGAACGCAACGACTATTTTGAAATATATACGCACCGTAGTATGAAGCGATCTGATTTTAATTATTAAGCTTGATATTTGTTCAAATATTAAATATAATGTGTTGTATTTTGTCTAAAAATTATATGATAGTACTTAATATAAACCAGTTGATGGGTGTTGGCTAATAATTTCTTCCCTTATCGTTTTACGAACGCGGTTGTAATGAAAGTGATAAGATGTTATCTTTCATGTTTAATTTTATTAGGTACAATTTTGTTGTGCGACTGTCTCCTGTTTATTTAATAACCTACTCACAGAGGTAGACTCGAGGGATTCTAACTTTTTTCCCGCTCATGCATTACAATAACAATTAGGCTCAGACATGTTGAAGGCCTTTCTTTGTTTTTTTTAAATATGTTGATTATTCTATAATAAATACCAATAGATAACATATATTTTTGTATTTAAGTGATTGGTATAAAAATTAAATTTTATTAATTAATTCTCGTAGTTTTGATTTGACTTTTCGTAATGATAGGTGCTGTACTTCATGTCAAAACGTTTATAAATTTAGTATTGACGCTCTTTTATTTGGTGTTATTGATAGCTTTTAGCCTGAACTTCATTAACGCTAGTCCACTCCCTTGGGAGTTGATTTTAAGAATAATAGTGAGTAAACAGAACATAAATATGTTCTCTCCAATCTTATGATATACATTCAAAATTGTTTTCTTTGTTTCAAAATCGTAACTTTCTTGAATATTCCTTTCGGGTTTTTTTATATACCGTGAAGTATTACATTCTTGTAATGAGAGAGAGAGTACAAACCAAAGGTATACGTAGTCATCCACGTTATTATTATTAATTATACTGTAAAAACATATTTTTTATAGTATAAATAAATAATAATAACGGCTATAGAAACGGTCTAATCTAGAAAAATGCACTCCGAACAGTTTAAAGGCACTAGAAACAAACAGACAATTATTTTTAGTTACTAGGTTCTTGATTTGTTTTATTACATAAGATGATGTTAGCCAGTATTTTTCTTTTCTTAACGTAATGGTGATATATAAGATTATAGTAAAATTAAAACAATTTGCCAGTTGTGCTGATTTCATAGTTTCCATGAAAACCGCATTGCGATTAACCTAATAGTATATTTAGCAATGGAGAGCTACTAGTTAGCCTAGTTTTATGATTCATCAAAATGCGTGCTGAACTTCTCGTAACCGTGTAGCGAATCATTTCTTGTAGAAATTAAAAGTATATAGGGTTATTATAGGTATAGTTATATTATAGATATAGTTAGGTTTATTGAGCTTCCTCCCGTGCACACTTAGATTGTAGATTGCACTCCCTGCCAAAATTTTCTCGCGAGACTACTGTCGAGTTTTTCAAGAAAGGTTAAGGTTTCTTAAGTGTTGGCAATGCCTGAGACACTAGAGGATGGTACCTCAGGCGTCCATAGGCTGCGGTAACCGTTTACCATCAGATGGGCCGGACGGCATAGTACTTGTTTGCCACCACAGTAGTATAAAAAAATATATAGAGTTAATCATGAATTCATATCCTTATAATATTCTCTAAGGAAGATCGAAATATTAAAATAAGTTTCGAAACTTACTTTAATAAATGTATCAGATGACTGCGCATTACATCAACGACTACATACTTAGTTATGTTTCAATTATTTATACTTTTACTTTAGATTTTTCATATTCAGGAACAATATCAATCAGCATTTCACATTTACACATGTCACAAAGAGCCATTATATTTTATAAAATATATGTGACCTAACCCCACTGTAATCAATTAGCGTGCACGAATGCGTAAGTTAAATTTCAAGCTTAGATTCTCTGTAGTTCCCCGATGAAAAGACATACACGCACAGTAGATTATTATGATTAATATATATAACATATTGCTTACAACTAGAAAGGTAACAATAGTAGTAAAGTGCTAATTATTTTTAGGTTATTGGCCAGTCAGAAAACAAGCGATAAATTCGCCTGGGTAGGTATGTATTAGTAGTAAACGCTATATTACTCTGTCATAGTAACATTGTTGACATCTACGAATATTTTTAAATAACATTGTATAACTCTTTTAATAATGAAATTACATAACTGTTTATAAAGTAATTACAGCCAATTAAATTCTGCCTACCTCTGTCAAGTGTAGGTACTTTTTCTATGATGATACAGTATTAATACATACATTGTAATGTTTCATACTGAGAAGGTCAGATGTATAGTAAATTAGAGAACTTCTAGTTCTAAACCATTTCTAAAGAACACTTTAAGACATGATACCTACCGTATTATACCTACTATATTATCAGTACTTTTCAAATTACCACTATATAATACTTTAGTGTCACTAGCTTATTTATCTTCTCATGTTAAATTAAAGAATAAAGAAGAATTTAAAATTAACGAACAACATTGGAATCATATATTTTGTATTTTAGGTAAATTGTTTTATACAAACATGATTGACACGGCCTTTTTATATTCCTTATTTTTATCCACAATATAATTTATGACCAGTGCTGATTTTAACTAAATTATCAATTCTGAGATGTTATCAATCTATTAAGCATGACAAAGACATCATCTTATTTCGATTGGACGTCAATTAAATTGCAAATTTTCCGATACAATATCCAAAATTGAATAATTTCAAGACAAGTGAATGGTCCCTACTATAACTACGAGTATATTGATAATGACAAGGAAGCTCTCAGATTTTCGTACCTTATTAAGCAATTTCTGCTAACGCTGGTGCCTTTCATTTCTATGATAATACAGCTTGTCGTGTCACTCAATGTTTTGTATAATATATCTTTACACTTGATTAAAACTTTTATAATAGTATAATATTACCAAAAATATATCACACTTACTGTTATTGAAATTCGTAATAACTTTTATTCTTAGTATAAAATACACGATGTGAACGAATAATAAAAGAAACCTAAATCTATATTATAACTACTATTAGCATATAATTTATGAATCAAGTAGGCACTAAGGAAATTTAGAAAGGCGATTTGACAAATTGGTTTTATAATATTGATTTGATTTGAAATATTATCTAGTCAAAATGTTCTTAAAATTATACATATGCAGACTTGACAATAAATAATAAAGAAAGTAGGTATGCATTACATATTGCAAACATCATGACAATTACATTTTAATTCTACTTCAATTATTGCCTGTTATTAGAAACCACTAATAAAATAAATGTGCTAGCACATTTATTTTATTATATTTTTTACAAGAAATGCAAACAGACTTCATAAGGAACTTTTCAAATAGGAATATTTTTGCGCTTACTTACTTCGACAATTTTCTACAGATTCCGTATTTTTTAGTTTTCGATACAGTTTACTGTCGTGCTTTTTACATTTTTACTTTCTCTTCTGTTGCATAGAGAGAACTGTTCGCTGCAAAGGCGGACAGCGGTACGGCGGCGGTAGATCGAAAGTTGTCCTCTTCTTCAGCTGGCAGTATGAAGAACAAGTGGTTGAAGGCCTTCCGAAGTTTGAAGCCGCCAAGTGCACCGCCACCTCACTCTGCACCCCCTGACAAGTACGTATACAATAATATAAACTATTTAAAAAAAATGTATCATTGTTTGAGACCAAACAAATTCCGCAAATCTTAATTACATTGTAAGAGTTCAAACATGGCAAATTATGTATATTTTGCAATAATACATATTTTTAAATGTTAACAAAGATAAAGTAATAAATTATTCTTCTTACAAATAAACGACAAGACACAAAAAGCTTCGTTAAATGTAATATAACGTAACTATTGATTAATTGTTGCTATACAAAGAAAGTTACTTTACTAATCATTTTTAGTTGAACACGCAACTATATAATTTCTTTTGATAATAATTCGGTGTCTGTATTAATACATTTAATAAAATACACAATATGGATTTACATCATTACTTAATGAATGCGATAGTTAATAAATTAACACAAACAAATACTTTTTAAACAATAGCATAATAGTTTGTACATTGTATATTATTGTAGATAATGCATAATCTATTGTTTAAAACAGTAAATAGCTTCCTATTCCCAGTTATATGACTCTCGTGGTGTATATAATGCTCATAATGTCAACAACTCAATTGCATGTTCATGGCAATCAGTGTCATCTGCAATTGATTGCGTAGATAGAAAAAAGCTACGAACAATAAACCGTGTCTAGGAAAAAATAACCATTCTCCTACTCGTTATATTAAAAATTAAAATAGCGAATAAGCAATAGTAATCAACTATTTTGTTACATTATATTGAAAAAGATATTATTCCGATAACAATTAATAAAAGATTCCATGACCACATAAATCTTACGCTCTATTATTTTTAAAACTGTAAAATAGTTAGATTTTTTAAATAATCATTTTATAACTGGTTTTTAAATTGTTTTATATACTTATCGCCTATCATTATTATTAAGCAGCCACTGTAGTTTTTTTAATTAAAAATAGGTACCTCAATAAGTTATAACATTTTTGTTGTTTCCAAAAATCAAGCATGATGAAAATCTGATAACGTAATTATTTTGTTTATTTTCATTTAGGTAGTGAAATTAATAGTTCTATAGGACAACTTTCAAATACTGTATTTAGGGTATATATTTATGAATATTCCTGGAAAGTTGGAGAATAATATTATCCTACTATTGCAGAAAAGCATATTATACATAAAATATTATTGGTGCGTGCAACCGAGCAATAAGTACTGATTTACTAACAAAATTATTGTTATTATACTATTTCAACTAAATACAGTTGAAATGTTTCCCTGTATCTAATGATAAAATACATATGCAGTCACTTGAAAGGATATAAATTGAATTTTATATCCTTTCAAGTGTAATAGTAAAATACTCGAAGGCATGTACTTTTAATTAAAAATACATTGCCTGCAGTTAATGAGGTCTTCTCTTCATTTTATGTCACTCGACGATCAATCAAGTTGAAATATCAACATATTTCTATCTCTCAACAATATATACATTAACAGAATTAATAATAAAAATCAATAAAATACAGCTAGCAGATAATAATTCGTCTGAGCTATGCGAAATGTAGGTATATAGTTCCTCTACCCTGTCAACTATTAATGGGATTAAAGAACAATACTAGGTTTAGCACGGAGCTATACATTCTGATTTGATATATGTATATTGCAGCTTAAGTACTGTAACTTTGGTTTTAGTCGAAAAGGTATTCCAAAGTTTGATTCAGATATGTTCTTAAATGTTTTAGTCTTATACATTCATGTTAACTATTTATTAGTATTTTAATAAATACACCTGTAAAATCATAACACATTTAAAATGATTATGCCAAGAAAAGCTTAATAACTGAATAGACTTGACTGAACTCTTAACATATTAGATATAAATAATTAAATTAATTAACTTAGTTAGTATTATTATTTTATTTATACTGCAATGGTGGCAAACTGGCATACAGCCCATGTTAAATGGTTACCGTAGACTATGGACGCCTGAGACACCAGGAGTGTCATGTGCGCGTTGCGTTGTTTTACTTATCATACTCATTGAATTGTAAATTATCTTAATAGAAAGTACAGGATTATAGCAGATTATTTTAAAAGGAAAACTGTAACATCGTCGGTATACCTTGTATGTCATACATTTGTAGACTTGTTACTGCTACTAGTTTGTATTTGATCAGACTGGTCATATAAAACATTTTATAGCATCATCCAAAATACAAAGTATCATGACCATCCTGCGCAGCTGGTAACTGTCTTTATCCCGTACGTGTACAAGTCAAATAATAGAGCAATATTTTTTTAATACTTACAAGAAACAAATTTAGTATAATTTACCCAGCGAGTTGAGATGAAACATCAAAACTTTCATATTTCAATATCTGCACCTAACACAAGTTGAAAAACTACTTAGAAGGGATTACTAAGCGACAAAATAGTGCCTAAGCTGTTGTAAGACCTAATGTATTCTATTACTTAGATATTATGAATATATAAAATAAAAAATACTACTTTGAATGTTTAAAATTTACGATAATTTTTTTTAATAAAATCAAACCTCTGTACCGTAAGATCAATTTTGAGTTTATAAAAATGGGGTATTTATTTTTATAAGGATTCTGGATTAAGCACCCCATTTGGCTGCAAAGTACAAAATTTCGATGTGCAGAATTCACCTAAATAACTGTGTAACCCAAAATTGAACAAGATATTAATCTTCAAACGTACATTGGTGACCCAGAAACTGTAGGTCAATCTAGTGGTTAATCCAATTAATACAGGATATTCCTAAGATAGTGAATATCGCCCATGGATGCATGGGCGATATTCACTACGTTGATATTACAATACTGCAAAAATATTCATTGATAATTTTGTAAGCTGTTAAATTGATAAATTAATTTATATAAATTGGACGACCTCGCACGGTTGTAAATGTCACATGTCAACCATTCGAAGAAACTTTACTGTAAAGAATAATAAAAATGTGTTAAAGTCTGTCCCATGATACACATCTATATAAACTTTAATTTCAGTTTAATTTAAAAGGTCACAATATTTTACAATCGATCAATAAGACTTTGCAAGTTTGCACTTTTTATAGGCAAGTCATGAGCAAAATCTTTTGGTCTATTAATAAATTATTATTTCATTATCATCCGAAAAAGTGAAGTAGCCAAATTTGTAGGTCAAAATTTTTAACGAAAGTTTTGAAAGCGAATGTATATATGCATAAGGTATAAGATTATTTCATATTTAATATATTTCAGAACCTCTATCTATTGTCTAGTATCCACAGTACAGGTTTTGCTTAGTTTAAAACTAGATGGCGCTGTGTAACATGCTCAGGTGTATTTTATTTATATCGACACAAAATTATATGTACAGAGTAAGAATGTTTAAAGACATTTCTATACTTATCCCATATTTCTTACTAATAAAAGAATAATCATAGAAATTTACGACAGTTGACAATAAACCGATTTTGCTGAAACTAACTGACGCGATGATTCATGAAAAACGTTACTCATGTTTCAAAGAAATGTATCGCTAAGCTCGAGCAAGAAAGTCAAGGACGCTCTACTTAGATGTATTCTGAGAATGGCGATCATCACGGTACAAACATGGTAGGTATATCATAGAGACGAGAAGTTTTTAGCTTAGCGATCTCTAGTCTATGTATCTGGTGAATAAATTCGATATGCTTATAAACTATTAAATTGAATTAATTCTTATTACTTTACATAATATGCCAGCATGACGATAGTCACAAGCATTGTGAATCCGAATTGACTTAAAATTAATTTTCTTTTGAAACTAAACTTTACAATTATAACTTTAGTATCAATTTTCCATAGTTTGTATTTTTGGGTTAATGCAGTGTTTTATTGAAAGTTCGAATTATCGACATCATGGTGAACGCAAATTGTTTATTTGTCAGATTAATTTTTGGTTTGTTAACAGTATTTGTTTAACCGGAGAGTCAGTCAAAAATATAATTTGACTTAGACAACCAGATTAGAACTCACAACAAAATTTTCTCTAAAACGGCAATGCACAAGTTAATATCTAAGTGCGTACCTAAATTCTCGATTCTCGAAAATTCTTTATTTACCTTACCCGTTTTGGTTCTAAATGTATACTGGAGTAATCCCACATAGAGTTTCAGTGGTTTGCATTCACTGACATCGTTGTTAATCGAAATTTAACTAAAAAATAAATGATATCACATTACTGGTAATAATAAACTGTGATTTAGGTACTTCATCTATTTAGAAGTAAAATAAAAAAAGACTAAACCAATTATATGAAGAAACTAAAAAATATTTACTGATAGAAAAGATGAAAGAGTAGAAAATAGAATAAATTTATATATATGAGTATAAATGATGTTGAATATTCGTAGACTAATTACTTACTACAGACAGCTTAGTCTCATTGAGTGGAATAAGGGGACCAACTGTGGTTTTCCCTGAATACAAAAAAAAATATTTACGATTTTGTATTTATTTATCTATTTATAATGTTCCATAATTCGTATAAGGAGTCATTCATAAATTTCGTTACACATCGAACCCCCGCTCCCCTTAGAGCGTCTTCAAAGTGTGACATTGTATGACAAGTAGTAGAAGGGAGTCCTACATTCCTTGACCTCGCACATGTTAATGGTGCGAAATTAAACAAAATAATATAAATGCATTAATATCCGTATAATAACACCTAATAAAAATAGACATCACACTAGGGAGACTGAATCTAATAAATGTCAACAGTTATGACAAGGAGGCTATTAATGGTCAAAAATGAATAAATGAATTTCGTATGATGTTATTTATGAATAGGTTAGGCTATCTATACTTTTATGGATAGCCCCTTATGAGCCTTTGCCGAACGCTTCATCTCTGGTATTCTCTAGAGTTCATAGTGAATTGTAAAATTGAATATACCTACATATGTATATTGAGTAATCCATTCCACTGCGTATCTAGTCGGTTTTTGGATCTATCTCGTTCAACTTTGCTTCTGTCACGGCCGTTTTCTGAAACTTACACTATGAATTATATAGGTAATGTTTGTGGTATAGGTAATTATATAATAATATAAATACTGGATAAACAAATTATCCGACTATTATAAATGAAACCTACGCCAATATAATTGTATTAGTTAGATATATATGTTAAACACAAAATTAATGATTATCAATTTAAAAATTCAATATAAACATACAATTATCTCGCTCATATTCGATTTTACTCATATCTTATTCATTAACTTTGCTTCTGTCACGGCCGTTTTCTGAAACGAAATATAGGTACATCGACCTATTTAATTATTTAATCATCATTTCGCCGCTTCTTAATGGCTGCAGGTGTAATTATTTTAATGAAAATAACAATCTTAAAATTATATACACTTGTAGATATGAAAATATTAAAAGTATTATTTATATATAATATTTACTTATTAATTACGTTGCTCTAGTTGTACATTAACAACACATCACGATTTTGCACATTCATAAAATATGGATTGTATTATAGTCATTTAATATCGTGCATCATTTTCATTTTGATGTTTCTCTCTTCTTGCATCAATAAAGAAAAAATCAAATGTACCACGCGGTGTCGACGGTAATGGCGATGAGGTAACTGTGCCCTGTAGGTGTGCGCCTCTGTTAATGAGTGTCTCCTTTACATAGATAGGACTGCCATCTAGTGCTACCATTTGAATATCGGGTAAATAAAGTCTGTAGATTATCATGTCAGAAAAATATAAGCAATAAATTATAACTAAAACAATTGTTTAATATTTTTGCCGCTGTTTTGTATTATTTCTTTGAGATTAGCAATTTGATGGCAGTTCTAACTCTAGCCCGACAGTATTCGATCTTCTGCTCACATAGTCTACAGTTTTATAACATAAGCATGCATTAGTATCCGTAGTTAATGTAACGTCTCATAGAACCAGATTTTCCATTCACAGCTTGTCTTCTATGCCTTTTTACACCAAGCACTTATATTTTATAAGCTTAAAGACATTGTTGACCACCCTATGTACCACCTCGCATGTGACATTGAAAATAACATATTATATACACATATAATGCTTCTAGGCCCATACTGAAATAACAATAGGTACTGTCATTAATATTTCATTTACCTAAAAGACAGGATCGTGTATTATTATTGTACAAAGTTAGAAATTCGAGCAATTTGGTACCATTACCAAGTGCAGGGTCATTAGGTGTCGTACCAATGTTACCGATGGTGACTGACTACCTCTCAGACAAATACGTATATTCTCCTCCTCTTGACCTTCAATACCATGGATCAATATCGATGACGTATATCAACATTGATTGTGACAGTCCGTAAAGAGTACACAGTGATAAATGACCCACACTACAATCTGCTTGGAATCTCTTAATTGCTCAGTGTATGGTAAAGGTCGTGTAAACATTAGCTGTTTAGAGTTATTTGAAATTGATTGTTTATCGAATAAAAGTTACATGCAATTAGCAAAGTAAAAGCAACTAATGATGTTTTTGTCTGTTTTGTAGGAGAAATGGCGCTGCACGGGAAGCAATGCGTGCTGGTGGTGATTCTGATGCACATAACTTTCAAGAATATACATACAAAAAAATCACCCCATGTGATGTATGTTCCCAAGTTCTTAGAGGTAAATTTTTATTCCGTATTTTTAGCAATAAGAAACCGTGATCGTAAAATTTTAATAGCTATTTCTGCCTATAAATAAATTTACTATAATTTAATGAAAATATGTTTACAAACGGTATAACTACGCAAAGCGATATAGAAAAAAACGTATATGTAATCATTTCTATCCACACAGTTAGTGCCTGGCACATTGTCACAAATATTGATGTACCAGTAAATTTTAATCAACCAGCACCTACAGTAACCCCTCGTGCCTTGTACGAACGACTTGTTTTTTTGAGGTTTTAACCGACGATAGGTCGCAAATTATGTTCCGTGTATTTGCCCAATAGCAACCATTCTATATAAAATTCTCTTACTTGCTATAAAAAACAGCGGAGCGTCCCGCCTTATTGGCACGACAAGCTTTTTGTCTGATGCCATTGAACCCCAAATAACGATCAATTTGTAATGCTTAAAGTAGTACAACGATTATTCGTTTTTTATTAGCAGAATAAACTGAATACGCAGTTTAAAGTATTGATTAAATTAACAAAATTTAAGTAGGTTTATATCAGTCGCCTGTACTTTTTGCTGCTAACATAGAACTGAATATTGAATATCGAAATAGAATTCGCTTCTTACTGTATTTCATTCTTGAAATTTATGATATTACAAAAGCTAACACGTTTAACTTCAGAAATGTTATGAATAACTTTTTGATAATCTATAAAATTGTTGTATTCCTACTGTACTGCTGTTGCCATATTTTATTATTCTACAAAATTACATGAATATAAATTAATTTAATAAAAAATATATTCAATTTCAGGCCTTTGGGTCTCTTATGAACATAATGCTTCATCACCCTTCAAATGAATACATGAATATCAATATTTAAATTTAATAAAAATTATCAAAAATTGTTCGTGAAGTCTACTAACGCCATACAAGGTCGTCTTCCAAATAATCGTTTATAGAGTAATAAATAGACTTTAATTAATAAGTATTTCTTAATAATGATTATATTCATTAAAATGTAGATTTTAAATATCTTTTGATATCATATACAATTTTAATAAATTATAGTTTTTAATTAATCCTGAATCCTATATTGAAGTAAACAGTTATACGCACACATCTATTTTTACTCTCCATAAAGAAAATAAACAATTATAATTACTATTATTTCAATTTGTTTAGGGCATACACGCCAAGGGCTTAGATGCCGTCTATGCAAGATGAACGTGCATACAGACTGCATGCCTCAAGTGGGCAAATGTCAGACAAAGTCTCGATTGCTACGTCGGCAGAAGAGCACCTCTGAAATCGAAGCACATAGAGTCCAAGAAACCGCAATCGAACAAGAAAGTGAGTATTCTTCTGGGTATATAACCAAATAAATGTATTATTCATTTTCCTACGGCTGTCAACATTGTACCTTTAAACATGAATTATATACATAAATACATGAGTACGTTTAAAATTTATACTTCCAGCTGTTCCCGCCAACAGGATCAGATCCTGTTGGAGGGAACCGCTGGAACTGTATTTTTTAGATATCCGAATGAAGAATTTTAAATCACATTGTGTTTAAAAACTTAAATAAATTGAAATAGCATAATTTGCTATATACACCTAACTATACTACTACTTAATTTAGATAACGTGTGTACCTCGTTCGTGTTAATAACAATATAAAATTACAAGATTTTGATTGTATGAGAGATAATATGCATATTAACAGATATAATGACTAATAGACACTCGTAGGAGAAGAAAACTAAATGGTGGCCTAATCTCAAGCATAGAAGACAAAGAATGACATGGCAATGAAGATGATGAACAAATTTTAATATGTAAATAATCGTAAAGGCACTACACATGTGATTTCTCTCTTGAAATAATTGATATAATTAATAGTATTGTGATTTTTTTTTATTCCAGTAGACAATACCCGAAATATTAAACATTCTGTAACAGATTTTGTTCTATTCTATAATTTTGTAACAATAGTTTTCTAATATTTCTTAATAAAAATTAATTTGCTTATTACTTAATAATAATTAATATTTATTATGTTTGTAATAATTAGTATTACACATAATTTATGTATAGAACATGCGTTCAGATGTGACGGTAAGTTTTATAACATTCAAATAAGTTAAATACTTCATGGAAGCAATAAATATTGATTCTGATTAAGATACTGACATAATCCATAATTATAGCTTTGGTAAATAGCAATCTTGACATGGAATTTTGGCGAAACAATATTATAATCACATACCTTCCATTAAGCTTGCGAAAACACAACTGCATAAACACGCGACAGGCATCATTATGCCACAAATAATGAACACAGTAATGAACAATGAACACAGTCCAAAGTTAACGTCACGTTGTCCAGGGGTGGAGGATGGCTGGCTTCCAGGACAGAGACTCACCAAGATCTCCTTCAAGGGGTCGGTCGAGTTCGATGATGATTTCGATAGCAACTATGATGAGGGTACAGTATTAACCAGCCAGGAGTGACCCCTCTGCATTATTCCGAGTCGAGCATTCAATAACAACTAACTCTCAACGAAAGTCGCATTATAGAATCAATTAGTTATAGTTAGCAAAACAAGTACCTACTAACAAAGACACCACCCTATCCTGACTCGCCCACATAGTAACATCTGTCGTGATTCATGTGACTCTCGTGGTTTCGGCGATAGCGTTTGACTCTAACCGCCTTTGATGCTCAGAGGAGGAAGTGGATCAGACCTACCAAGTTCTGAAGCGAGCCAACGAAATCGCGAAGCCGGGTGGCGGGGAATCGCGCGGGGGCCCCGTAGTGCGGGTGTCAGCACCGGAGGAGACGCCACCCGCGCGCTCGCCGGCACGTCCATCTGGCGGGCTGGCTGTCGCGCCGCAGCCCGTCTCCTCTAGCTCAGGTGTGGCGCCGCACCCGAGCTCGTTCGCTTCTCCGCTCGAGCCGCGCCGTAGGCCGTTGGTCGTTGCCGGTTGCGTATATGTTAGCGCTTGTCCCTTATCTCACTCTCTATGCTATTTTTTATAGCAAACGTGAGTACGATAGAGTAGCTAATATTTATTTTTTTAAATAAACGTCTTTAATTAGTGAGATAATTTATGACAATTAATATTAATAAACAACTACAAGACACTTGACATGTCCGATAACTTGGACAAGATCGTTCACATATACTTCGTAATCTGGTGGCGGCCTATCGGCAGCTTCACTCAGGTCACTCGTTTTCAGTAGTGTGGAGTTGTTTGCACGCATTGGTATAGTCGCGGGCGCAGGGCGGGGGCGAGGTGCGGTCAGTACTGAGCGTCGGTCGGTGCTTGTCGGTAGGCGGGGCGACGCGGCCCGACGGCGGCGTGCGGCGGCGACTCTTCGCCGGAGTCAAGAGTTTATCCATGTGGGGCTCGCGGTCACGCCGCGGCTCTCCGCAGCACCGGTCCATATCGCTGCCGGAAAGTACGCGCCCATGGCTGCAGTAGACCATCGCCCTCTCTGCAGTCTCACATCTGTGAATTACAAGCTTTATTTGTCCCGTCTTTCTGAGTTTCGGTGCCTCATTTTCGTTGTGTGTTCAGTATAATTGTTTACAATTTTATTTTCGCGATTGCAGTGTTAGTTTAGACATAGGACTACTAAACTAGACGAAGCTCGGCAAACACACCTTAGTTGCTTTAACCTGTCCTTTCACAGGAACTATCATACCTCATTATATCGATAAACATTACAATGTTATCCCTACCAGTTATGTCTTTCTTTACTTTATTTTCTTTTATTTACTTATTTATTTATGTTTTATTTTTTATGATTTATTTTGTTTTCTTTGTCCATTATCTTTACAGAGTTGGAGGAGACAACAACGCGACCTTTCGGACAACCTCTATGTTTAGTTAATGAGAACGGTGACCCCCCACCATCTATTCTCAAGGCAACGGCGAGCGTTCGCAAGAAAAAATGATAAGCGATGTTATACTTCACGGGAATGAAAATATTACTTACAAAGCCTTCTAGGCAAGAGCACTGACTCAGCGCGGCATTTTGGCCTGTCCCTAACAGCCGCCTCTCGGATGACTATTATAATCACCCCGAAGCGCCCCGCGTACTGTGATATATATACTGTTACTGTTACAATAAAAGTCAAAAATAAGCTTTCTTTTTATCTCGTTATACCCTCTTGATTGCACTTTTTACTCTTTAATAAATTCAAAGGCGTATTTACTACAGTCCAGCGTTTAGACGTAAGTGTGCATGGCTTAGCGCAGCGCGCTGACTGCATGCGATTTTGGGCCATCAAACCGTGTTATAACACAATTTATTCATATATTTTATATTTGCAACCATAACTCGTAACCATATTCACGTCTCAGCTTCACAGTATTTCACTATTCGTTAAATACTCACCCCAAGTAAATAACACCGACTAACACTGAGTTAGGAATTTTTATTACTATGCTCGTCACACAACTCTTCAAAAAGTTTTACTGTTATGATTTCGCTTTTGTATTAACAGGGTCTCCCGAACACAACAGGTGTCTATAGATATTATGTAGTAATAATAGATTTATTTAGTTTATTTAGATGCGTACCTGTTTACTTGTCCACACAGGGTCGATGAAGAACTCCAAGAGTGCCCAAATGTTGAGGCAGGCAGACCGCACCAGTCCCTTACCTGGTACCAAATGACACCGTATCTAAGCGAATCCCTGTAGAATACTTACATCTATGTTGATTGAAAAATTCATTGCATCGATGAAAATTTTGCTCATTCAACTCATTCATGGTGCCACCTTTCTGTTACGTTATACAAGAACGCTGCTGATGACGAGCTGCATCTGATTAATTAAATAGAGACTCAAATATTGTAGACACCTAAATGAATATTGCAATATCATTATATAGGAAAGCCTTCACTTTAGTAGCATTAGGCATAGTTCAACGCGTAGCTATTAGGACTGAATCACATACAAATTTTAGGTATCGTTTTCTACTATTATCTTGTTTACTTTTAGTGTTTTTTTCTTATTTGCATTGCTTACGCACTTTTTATAGTGTTGTTTTTTTTATTTCTTGTATTATAAGTGAAATCTATTTGCCTGTTTGTAGTGTTTAACTGTTACCAACTACTAAGGTTTAAGAGTTTTTAACATTATAAACATACTATTGAACTTAATAAAAAAAACAATGATTACAGCTCTATATATTGTTTATCTTCAAAATTAAGGAACGTGAAAGCTCTTAAACTATAATACGACGCTAACTACTAAACTGTTAATGTAAGCATCCTTAGGTCCACTAGTTTATAAATTTTGTATTCAAGTAATGAGACTCTACTACCTATTAATATTATTATACATTTCATTCAATCATTACATATCAATCAGTCACGGAAGTATAGGAATAGTGACAAGAACTTAATAATAGATCTGTAAAATCAATCACTCATTAAAATATAATTATCTCAATATAATTTTCGTCTCTAAAAAATAGATGCCAGGGATATTATTTAGCATTACATTCTCAAAGGACGGCGTAAGTGATCCTGATTATACCTGTTATAGCACCACATTCGCCGAGACGCCAAAAGTTGAACCTTAGAATGAAGAGCCTGTCGTTGGACTCGCCGGAGTGTGGAGAGCTGAGACGCCGACCTACTCGAGATCAAGCGCCCTCGCAGGGCAGCCGAGTACTCTGTACGATAATCGCTAGTAACTTTTACACCTGGGTCCAAATAACCTACTTAGAATTTTGAAACCACACCATTAAATTGTCAACTGCACATTTTAATAAATTACATAATTTTCGAATCAGACTTCTTTACACTTAATAGTAGATATACTTTAAATTTATTATTCATCAAGATTGCTTATTATTTCTTTTAGTCAAGCAATTATGAATAATGTTAATATTAGATGTAAATGTATTAGGTTCTTTGGACTCTGGTATGTTAATGTCAAGCATTGATGTGAGCACACCGATGTTCACCTACAGGTTTCCCTTGGCTTAGCTTGTGTGTATAGAATATAGGTTTACTCGTGTTGTGTTGTTTAGTGAATCTCCTTATGTGGTGAGCTTTCGACGTCGTTCAAAAGGTGATCACAATAAAAGGCTTTGTTTCTGTACTCGACTTGTGTCGTCTTTTGATGTTCTGTGGGGACAAACATATACTGTATCAACAGGAATCATTATAATAATTGGTCCACTGATAATTTCATACTGGTCATTTCATATTGGAAAAAATCATTTAAATATAAGATTCTCCACAACTTCCTGGCTTGTTATAATTTCTAATCTTATGACTTTTGTTTTTGATGCATGCAATTAATGCTTTCTTATATATTTTTCTAGATAAATCCAGAACATATTGCACGAGCTATGAGAATAGAATAATCGCCGTATAGTCAATAAAAATCTAGATACCTCATGTACGTTAATTAAGCATGCTTTAATATACTTATACTTACTGCAAAATAGTAATGTTTCAAACATATCGTTGTTATATTTAGTAATAATATTTTTATCTAATTCTTTACCGATTACTCTTTATCATTACGAAACCCTTCAACTTATGCAATGTTTAAACTTAAATAGTATTTATATAAATTTACTACACACAACAATATTATTCTGCAGTAAGCATTTTTTACTCAAGTAGATACAGTATTTAGTAAAAATTAACTGACATACCAAAAACTAAGCTAAATAAATACTTCTCTACTTAGGTATACAGTAAAAATCGTACACTAAAAGATAAATCGATTGAATAACGGGAGTGCGTGTTCCCTAATAATATTCTTCCATCGATTTATTTTCGTTTTACTATATTTCTACACATAGTAAAGATTAATCAGCACGTAACAAAAACTGTGAGTCAAAAATAAATAAGCACATTGCAAAACCTGAAGCGCTTGATCAATGTATGCACTTGTATTGAATTAATACACAAATGTTGTGAATTGAGAATGCATTGACAATAAGCTGACTTTCAAAGACTGTACCAACTTATTATGGTGTGTACAGCGCCGTCCTCTCCAGTACACAGCAGGAGGCTTTTAACCACCCGAGGAGGCCGCATGAACAGCGTGGAACTCCCAGATGAACCTGACAAGAGTCTGTCATCGAATAGCGCCAGTCCTTGTCCCTCGCCGGTTAATAAGTCAAGCGTAAGCATTTATTACATATTTCCTAAAAGTTCTTTACAAATTGTTATATTTTATTAAATAAATCGCATATCAGGAATATCGTGCTTTAGGAACTCCCAAAAAATACGTTTTTGGTATATAATTAATTAATTTGAATTACTTATTTCAAGTACAGAATTATTATATATTTACGACATAATTATCATAAGTACCTATGTGTATGATATATTGCTAGATTAAGCACACTATACAACTAAACTTAAACTGATTAGATTACGATGATATATACGAGAGATGATAGACTGATAGATACGAATGAAATAAATCTAAAACTATTTATTACAGAAAAGATGTAGATGTAATAAAATTTTATTGATATTAATAACATTAAACAACATTGTTATACTTTCGTCGTAAGTTATTAATATATGGGTTTAGTTATTTTTTATTTTAGTAGCTTTTTCTTTCAGTCTTAATTTAGGATTTACACTCTTGTTGTTAGAGCTCTGTATTAGCAGTATTAGTAAAAAGTACTTAATAAAAATTATGTATTCATATAATATTACAAAAATTCTAATAAAATTAATAGTCGATCAAGACTTGTGCTTACTTATTACATTCTATCTTTCCATCAAGTTTTATTATTTACTAGCTGTACCCGTGAATTTGTCCGCGTGGAATTTAACTTTATTTTTCATCATCATATTATAAAAGAATTTCTCTAAAATAGAAGTAGCCTAAGTTACGTTACGTTAAGTAGCCCAAGCTGAGGTAATAAGGAGTAACCTTATTACCTCAGCTACCTGCCAATAAAAGTCCCATCAAAATCGGTCTAGCCATTTCAGATATTAGCCGGAACAAACAGACAGACAGACAAAAATAGTTAAAAATGGTATTTTGGTGTATGTACCATATTTATATTCATTTGCATGTAGTAAAAAAACGGTTATTTCAATATTACAAACAGACACTCCAATTATATTTATATGCATAAATTAAAAAAAAATATTTGCCCTTCAGAAACATCAGCGGCTGCTACCTACCAATCTCTACGTGATCTTATATAACTTTAAATCTCGCCATGCTGATGAGCTAGACCTAAAAGCTGGGTACAAGGTGACTGTAATTGATACTTCGGACCCTGACTGGTGGAAGGGAAAATGTTTAGGCAAGATTGGATACTTCCCATCAAAATACTGCACCAAATTGCAGGCTGGAGAACGCCCATTACAAGTTACTCACAATTTGCAAGTAAGTAATGAAATAAGAATAATAATGATCTTTATTCGTTTCAAATAATAAATTACCATATTTTGCTTATAATAAAATTATAAGGAATTAACAGAAACAAAATGGTCTCTACTTCTACTAGACTACTGCTGGTCTAACAGAATGTTTACAGCCTGTATTGGTAATTTTTATTATAAAAAAGTCAAATTTAAAATTACAGAACAGACTTTTCTCTCTTCTATTTTTAAGGTTATGTGTTGATTTGTCCTCTACAAGACAAGCAATTAAGAATTAAAATTTGAAAAAACAAAATGCAATAGGATCTAAAGATATAGAATAGAACTAAATGTTATCATTAAATTTGAAATACATCATAATCGTTTAATTTTATTTTTCAATAAAATAGTTAAAAAAAAAGAAGCAGATTTATGTCCCTCTTTCTTTACTTGCTTTAAAAAAAAAATTAATGGCAGTTTAGCACTTTTTCGCTGTAATAAAGAATTAGGACTTAACTTACAATAAACTAAAGGAAATATGGGTCATATATTACTGTGTTCTTGCTGAGAAATATTTGGTTACTTATTTGTATTACGGTTTTTCAGGTATCAGATGGCGACAATGGTCTAATGCTACTTCGTGATCAAATCGTTATACAAGTAAGATTATTTTGTTAAATTTTATCTAAAAAATACATCTATATCACCAGACGTAGTGTTTGTGAAATGTTATGTTATGATAGCAGCTGGCTATATACTCGTCGCTATTTAGTCACTAATTACATTTATGATAAAGACAGATTCATGATGCATATTTTTTGAACCACAAAACTACCTATATTTTTGAACTATCACGGGTATATTAATAATAATATCATATCGCCGTTATAACGGCGTATGTAAAAACGGTGATGGATATATACGAGTATGATTAATTTTTATTATGAAATTCACATTAATTTTTATTTATAATACGTAGGTGACAATCAAGCATACATCCCATCTGATAGTAACGGTTACCGTAGTCTATGGACACCTGAAACACCAGTTTGCAGTTATCAATTAAACATTGTATAATTAAATCCATCTCTATTTACTGTTTCTATGTTCTTTTATGTGTGTAACTGTAATGTGGGAAATTTTACAAAACTAAATATTACATACACATTTATAACTGAGAACAAAAAAATTCATGCAACACACGGCATCAAGAATTGTTGATGAGAATATTGGAGCGTGGGCACTAAACCCGTAAAGTTATATATATATGTAGTTATAGTTGTTAGTAATCTTTGAATATTATTGTAATTTCCATTGTGAATGTCACGATATCTTATATAGGTTGGCGATGAAGTGGATGGCATGGTGATGATTCGTTCCGGCGATAATCGCCAGGGTGTATGTCCAGTTAAGTTCCTGCAGGAGGTGTGACGCTTTAAACTACCTAACTTCGATGTTATGAGGGTATGTTACTTGCTTGTCTTTATTATTTATTATACTCATAACATTATCTATACGCATTTGTTAAGAGAATGTTAAATAGAATTCCATTAATATTTTGAAAAATGTATACAGCGGAATTCATAAGTTTCTATATATATATCCTAGGTAATATCGAATATTACCTGTTAGTTTTTAAATATTCAATCCTGTCTGTCCTGGTGACGTAATCTATCTTATAGCCATTTTTCATTAAAAATTATTAAGCCATTCCGTTGTTAAAAGGTAGCAAAAAAACTGACTGAAACAATTTCGAATTTGTAATATTAGTATGTAGTAATTGTATTTTTTACTGATCACATAAATTATGAAAAATCTTTACATGTTTTGTACATAGAAAGATAATTAAAACTAAATATCAATTTCAGTTTTTAAAAAATACATACTTATCCTTTAAATCAAACTGATCGAAATAAAAAATACATAAATTTCAGAAACGCGGGTCATTTTCAGAAGAAAGTGGCAGGCTATTTGTACCAAAATCAATACATAGCGCTCCCGTCACACCATGTGATAGTGAGATAACTACTTTTTCTGACAAAGCATGGTCAAAAGGGTACGAACCAGCAGATAGAGGATATGAAGAAACAGCGGAAGGATTGTGGTGGTGGCGAAGACCTTTAGACATCAGACGAACGCAGTGCAGGCGGTGTGGTGCCTCATCATCTACGAGACCTCTAAGGATGATGCCGTGTGCAGGAGTAGCTCAGGAGGAATATGAAGGCACATCCCGCCCACTGATGTCTTGCGATCGGCCTCTGCTATTTGTCAGGCAATTTTTTTTGTAACTTTCATTTCAAGCGTAAAAAATTTACTACGAGGAAAAAACATCGGCATTAATTTATATGTCAAAATATTGTATCCCTTTTGAATATCGAATTTTGAACTTCAGCGGCCTATATTTTATACAGCCTTTTAAGGTTTCTTGAATGGTATCCTATTCGTTATACAAAATGATATATTAAATATTTATTGTTATATGTAAGTCCAAAGTAATTAATATATTTGCTACATATCATTTATCAAATATATATTAATTTATTAGTAATGTAACTTTATTAAATAAAATATTTACAGTCTAATTTCCATTTCAAGTTCCATTTCCAGTCTATGTTGATGTTTAAAACACAGTAGTCCAAAATAATTACTAATTTATACTTTCTGGAATCTATAGAAAGGTAAGGAAATAGGTACCTATTCCCTAGAAGTATTGTCACTAGATAGTTATCCAAAATTGATTAAATATAAAAGATATTGTTGACTTTGTAATAATAGAACTTTTGATTAATAGAACCCTTTTTGTGGGGTAGTATTTTATGTTGTAGTTACCAATAATCATTAGTTAACAGCTCTGCATAATGACTATTATTATTATAATTTTTAAAATTATAAGGTATGGATATGCCAATGCCTAATAAGTTATTATAAAATATTTGTTTCGTAATATTTATATTTCCAGTATTTTCTATTGTATGAACACTGAACCATTCCAAAATTAATCTGACTTCAGTAGAATATAAACACAGTATATATAAAAATACCGTGCCATTTTGATCTAGATTTAGCAGCCATTCAAGTATAAAATTAGTTTACTTCTAAAAATAAGTATTTATTTACAAATACAGTTAAATACTGAATTTGTAGTATCAGATTTCCTATAATCTTTATATCTATTCTCGATAAAAGATCCATCATTTACGCATTATTTATGTATTTATATTTATTATTCCTAAATGATATACCTAATGTATTTTATATACCTAATATATACCAAATTATATTCCTAATACCTATCCGTATTTAAGTTAACACATATTAAACCGTCCCCTTGGAGTTTTAAGTATTATTATGAGGATATTGAGGATATATTTATAACATAATTTATGTATTAAGTATGTATACAATGTGGTAGGTACTTAGATAAAAATTAATTTTTGGTAAAATGACATATGTACACATTTTACATGTGATATTGGGTGTCACAATAAGCCTTTACAACAACTAAATAATCAGCGATGGAGAAAATCGTTTCTCAGACATAGTATAATATTAACACAATTGTATTTGCATTGCATTATTTTTAACTTTACCGGGCAATTGTCATAGGAGTATGTTTTTTGCTATATTATCTACTGATTTATTAGCTTTTTATAAGAATAATATTATGCAGTTAATATTGTAAAAAAGAATATCCTACCCATCTGACATCTGAATTCAATTAACTTAAATTGGCATCTATAAATCAATTTAAATTTAGATAACTATAAAGTGATTTGTTGAATATGTTTTGTAGTATATACCTAAATGTCAAAATTATTATAGTAGCAGTAGGTTAGTTATTAATACGGTCAACAGAACAAAACTTTCCGGATCCAATAGACCTTTATTAATTAAATCATACATTTTCAGATAAAAAATATTATCTAAAGATATGGGTTAATTTGAACACTTTTATAAATAATTTAGGTTATTATAATAATTATAGTATTTATATGTGATATATGAACTTTTGTTTATATACAAAAACAATAAAGTAAAAACTTCCCGATCAAATTGATCGTGAAGTTAACGGAAACACTAGTCTTCGATAAAAGCATATGTTTATTTCATTTATGTTCGCATTTCGTCCTTTATTTCAATCATGATTAAGTGTTTAATAATATCTTGACAAATTACATCATTAGTCAATCAATTATACAAATGTAACAATGCGTATTATTTAACTAGGTAGACTGTACAAAGTCGTCTGCGTCGATACCTATCTCTATCGCTCCTACTTCGGCCGTCAAGCAGCTTGTTTATATGCTGTTTTTCAGTTTGAATTGTAAGATATGGCAGTATACAGGGATAGTTGCAAGTATAGAGGAATGGTACTTTAGTCCTCCAGACCATGTCACGATTTATAAATGCATTACTTATAATCTTCAAAAATCGACACAGGAATAAAACCGGGATTATCTGATTGCTGTGGTAAATACTGTTTGTGGCCTAAGAATACATATGACTAAATTAAATACGTGCAAGAAACGTTTTTAATAAATATACCCACAAGCAAAGGGTATTATTATGAAAACACAGTTTATTAATGAATTGTTGAAATATAATTATATTAGAATAAGATTATTTTAATTTGTTAGTGATTCGTGCTTTTAATATTCTTTACATATGCTGTACTGAATACATAGATAGATATTTAAATTTCTAAAATCTCATCAGGACCATGATCACTATAATTAACAATTAAATTTATTCTTAGTTACACAAGTTTAATAAATACGTATCTACAAATTTTGAGTATGATTTTTAGGTAGCGTTTATACTATTAGATATTTAATTAAAAATAAATTTCGTACTTGAATTATGTTAAAACAATCAGTTCATAAGTTAACAAAAAACGTTTACTGAAAGATACTGATATTGCGGTTTACGATTCTATGTATACCTATAAATAGAAACCATAATTTATATCAATATAAATAATTATGAGCCTATAATTTTTTATATAACAAGTACATACCATTATACCTACCATTCATATTATTTATGAACTAGTTGTTGATACTAAATAAAATTTATAATTGGACCATGAATGATTTATGGAAACACCTATTTAAATGTAGTCTGTTCTAGAAATTTCAATGTTATCTATTTGCCGTGTCTTACGGTAGATACGTATTATTATATTTTCAAAATTATATATAATCAAGTGTTGTCGTCCCCTCAATAGCAATAGATATATACTAAAGCCTAAAGAGACTTTAATTCAAAATTACATGAATTTGCCAAAATATTGATTGATGATTTCATATTTTACGTAGGTACATTTGATATCGTTATAAAGGTTTAGAATATCACGAACAAGTTACAATATCGTCACTTATATTTTGCATTGCAGTATTACCTATTAGACATCTGGACCAGCGCTAATACCTATACATATATATATAATTTCCAATTTTATAGCTTTCTTTGTCAGACTACATAATAAGTTCGTATAGGATAGGTATTTGATTGCGATATTTTTTCTAGAATATACATATTTAGATTTCACCTCGAAATATAGATAATTTATAAGAAATAGTTAATACTTACTTAATTATTAAATTCAACCAAAATGTTGACCTACGTGTTAATGTGATAGATATAGAATTACCTGCTAATTCCCAAGTGAGATGTTTATAATGTTTCGATATGGATATTTTATTATAAAGCTTAATATTAAAGTAAAGAGTGATAAAAATATTATTAATATATTGCGTAACAATCCTTTTTGACGGTTTATGACATGGGCGTCGAATAAAACGGTGCTATTAAAATGAGTAGTCTCATTTTAGTAACAGCATTTTATAATAAATACATTACTAGATAAATTACGCGAAATTTACGCTTTCCCAATACCCAATGAAGTTTTTAACCCATTTAATATGGATAATAATAATAACCCAGAATCTTTGTTATTACTCACCATAGACAAGTGTTTTTTTAGAAATATAATAGCTAAAGCATAATTTTCGATGTGATTATTTCTGACTTATTCAAAATATTAAAATGTGCTGATATTAAATCTATACGAAGGTATCCCATTGATGTAGTAGGTAGGTAAAATGAAATATAGAAAAGTAACGAATATTTGACGAAGAGTTTACCTTTAATAACTATTTTCGTAAAGTATAAAGTCATTCCTAAAAGGAAAGATAACATTACCTATATTAATACCTATTTAGTAGTAAACATTTCTTTATAAATACCTAGTATTTTTAGAATATATTATTCTAAACTCTGTACTGTACTTAGCGTATCTAACACTAAGGTAAGTAGCGAAATATGTACCTAGATGTCACCTAATAAAAGAACCAAACCAAGCAATCTACCTTAGTGTTCATCTATTTCTTTTAATCATCTAAATAACAGTTGAATTATTTCAATCTACCTAATATTTCACTATTAACTAAATTTATCAAAACACTAACCTATAAATCAGGTTGTAATAACTTATCTGACGACCTCGGTGGTCCAGCGGTCTAGTACACCGCTTTACGACCGATGGTCGCGGGTTCGATTCCTCGCACGGCACAAACATTTGTATTCAGGAGTATAATTGTTTGTATCGGTCTGGGTGTTTTCTATGTATAATATGTATGTATTTACAAAAAAAAATATCTATGTATTTGTATCAGTTATCTAGTACCCATAACACAAGCTTTAGCTAGCTTAACTTGTTAAGCCTACATGGGTTATTAAATGATAGTGGAATGGCGCACCCGACTGCGCTAACGGTTTAAGCTGGCGGGGCACCACAGGATGGTGACAAGTAGTATGAGGTCAAATCAGTTAGCCAATCGTGGTAAATTCACCATAAATTTACCACGGTGAACCTGACCCCTTTGCTACCCCTGTGCTAATGTACCTTACATTGCTAGCAAAGTGGTTATTAGTCCACATTACTAACGACCCCCCGGCCCTCCCCAGTTTCGTTATGTTCATAAATTAATGTTTACTACAGAATGGGCGTCATTTAATTATATATTTCTGTTTCTAAACATAACAATATCTACTTATTTAAAATGATAAACTTCTTCGATATATTATGTAGGTGCTGTAAAAAATCACAGCGGTAGTAACAGCACAGTGTGTCAGTTTAGCTAAATCAGGAAAAAAAACCACAAGTAAATGTTAATCATGGAAACGAATTATCCAATGAGCTAGTTAATTATAAATTACACCAAATATTATTATTATAGTTATAGTAAAGACGTACCTATATGATTATCTTATTGGCATTTAAAGTTAGGTATTTGTGAAATATTCCTCATTTAGAAAAAAACAAATGTATTGTCGCTTATTTTTTTGTTAATAATGCATTAATTTATTGCTAATGTTTAAAAATGTTGTGTTAGAATAAAATAAATTGTGTCATTATATGTGATGTTGTTTCTTTCAATAATCAAAATAATTATTTTACCCTAGAAATTCTTACTTCATAGCGCCCTCTATCCAGTACTATATAAATTTGATTCTATAAGTGGCGATGATGTTTTCAGAAGCATTATAACAGATGGCGCTAGTAATAGACACATCAATACGCAAACTACACCGGCACTAATTTGCAGTACATATTATTATATAAATGTATTACAATGATAAACAGAATCACTACACTAAATTGTAAGTTCATGAATAAAGTAAGTAGGCATAATATTGACCTTCTCCGAATCTGGACCAATTGACTATATTACTACTATACCTATATTTGCTTTTAAATAGTTCATTACTCATTAAGGTGCAGAAATCGTAAACTATTAATAGAGATAGACAACTTAGAATCAATTTAATTTTATACTGAGCTAATAAAAAGAATACGTATGTTATAAAAGCCCTCGACAATAAAATATAGTATAAACTGAGATTATTCATAAATAAATACTAAAATGCAAAAATTTAAGTAGAAATGAATTGCTCGATATATTTTAGATATTAACAAAAAACATTGGTTTATTGAAGCCTAACGACTTCCTATACTCTACCTTAAATACTTTTGATAAATATCAGCGCTCTAAAGTTAACCTTCTTAATCTATTTCTACATTGTATAAAATGTTCAGCATGATTCAGCAATAATGAACTAAGTTGTTCAGCAGCTTATTTAACTTGGCGTGATACTCTTCAGATTATTCTGTAAATTGTCTGTGTCAACATCGCTGACAAATATACCATCACAGTCAAATATGGAGTGAATATCTAATGTGTATGTAATGTATGTGTAACTATAACTTTGCATCAACCATTTGTATAATTGTTGTTTGTAATTTTTAAATTACCAATAAATACTAGCACTTACAAATATACTTAGTAAATATTTATTTCTACATCGGCAATGGTAATTTAATTCTTTAGTATAAAATAATATTATAGTATGTGTACCTACTATACTATTAAAACATTATAAAGTTTTAATTTTTGTATTTCAATATAAAGAGGAATAATAGAAACCTAAAAGAAAACTGCTAGAAATGTATTGTTGTTGCTTTTATATTAGCAGTAAAGAAAATTATAATTACATAATCTAAATTCTAACGCAAGTATCGAACCGAAACTGTTAAGTTGCGCTACGCTTCGTGCGCAGACTATCAGGCGAGCATGGCGTGGTGGCGACCCTAGCCACCGCTTGCCGCTTCCACGACGTGTCGATAACCCTGCAGCAGACGCGGCCTACCAACCATCACGCCTGCGCCGGTGACGTCTCAGAGAGGCGGCATTAAACTGGACTGGACGCATTCCAATATATTCGCAAACGTGTGCCTGTATTTTCGTATACTATAACTACTGCATAATTTTAATAAATATATCTACTAATTCACTTATTTATTTATACAAACTCTCATAAAAGCATTTTTAAGATATTATCAATCATAATTTAAAGTAATTGTAATGTTAAAGAGGCTAACCAACACTCCAGTGTGCTGCCTTCAAGCGAATTGACATTCCTCTACATAGATGGCAGCACTGAAAATATTTGACATTCCGTGGATTCCAATCGCAGTGGGCTCGGCTCAAATGTCAAACGCGACTATTTCGTCAACAGAGTCGTGGCGCGATAGTTGGATTTTATGAAATAACAACAAATACAATAGTGTATTTGACGGACAATGTATAAAAACGATAGAAGTTAGTACATTCTTTCGTGGTGCACAAACAAGTAGCGTGTCGTGTTGTTCTGGTAAATGTGGCCTGAGTTTTTGCAATTCCATTAGTTAAACTATATCGATTTTCGTTCTTCGCCGGTTTTGTTCAATTGTTACGAATTATCAGTAGCATAAATAATTTCATTACTTCGTGAAAACACACAGAAAGACGATCGTGGTTTATTAGTAAAGTTATATAATTTAGAATTCATAAATATAAATAGTGTGAAATAAACGAAGTCGCAATACTCCCTGGGAATAATAAACAAACTAGGTAAGTGTTTATTTTTTGTTTAAAGAATTCTATTAATACCACTGTGCAATCTTTATTTTACTATAATAGTCTCTAAAATAACGAAGAAGTCACATTCATGTCCAACATAGCATACATTCACTATCAGCTGATCAACAAACGGATCGAAAACATAATTTGGTATATTTTCAAAAAATCATCACATGTAGCAATGACTGCATTATTCGCGTTACCTTAGCATTACGATACCATGTAATAAGTAAGTACATACAAGTAACCTACCGGTTTTATTTGAGAGCGCGCCTCGCAAAAAACATTTTGCCGCTACACGATGAAAAAGGTACAGCGAAGCGGCATGGATTGGAATTTCGCGAATATAATAGAGTGGAATGTGTATGATATGCGGTGTATATACGACTTATTCACACACTGCGCCCGTACAACGTGATAAGAGAACGATAAAACTTCGCCCGATTAGCCAATGTGACCCCGCACAGTTTCCGTTCAATCGAGTTGTCTGGTATACACTGCGTTCTTTCGTTGATATTTATATATTTTCTTTAATATCAACGAATTTTATCATAGATGCATATATGTATACATGCCTATACTACGCAAATATAGTCAGTAGACCGAACATTACTATTCACACTTGACCGAATATAGCTGAATTGTAGTTCTATGTAGAACTGAATAGAATAGAATAAAAAAAAATATAGCACTTGGTAACCCCAGGATCTCGAATCCATCGTACTCACAACCAGCCACTACGCCTGCGCGATAATCTTTAAAATTATGTTATGGGATGAGTTTTTATTTCTCTGTACCGAAAATATTATGTTATAAAGCCAGCATCTTATTTTATAAAGTTAATTATAATATTTGTGTGAATTTTAAATAAATGATAAATACTGACTACCTTTTTGTACCTATATACAGACATATCTATACAAGTAGCACTCGTTCACGAGTATGACGGATGAGCCAGCTATCATTACGCTCAGCCATTTTTTAAGGAGCCCAATGACCCGGCCTACCACTTCGACACATGTTTGAACATTTTAGTGTTGTTTTAACCCCAATGTCAAATTAACTAAAATAAAGTCTAGCAGGACTACTTAAATTGTAACATTATTTGATAGGCGATGTATTTATTTATTATGTATAAATTATAAGTAAGAAATAACATACTTTGGTAAGTAATCTAACACATTCCATCGACATTCCAAGAGCCTATTTATAAAACGAATAAAATTATAACATTCCATAAAATTTCAGCAAACATGTGATCGAATATAAAAGGTTGAAAATAATGACCACATTTCGACCTATGTTTCCAATAGGTAATAATTTTAGTCCCATGAATATTTACCTCGTATGTATTGTACGTTAGCATTGTATGTACCTAACTACATTTAGCTTAACATAATCGCGTTTTACTAGAATTATAATAAATATGTATTTCATTTTTATATTAGTTCGTACCTTTATTATTCTACTGTGTAATATTAATGTATAATTATAATTAGAATTCATAATGTAGTGTGTAGGTATATACGTATACGTTGAGTTCTATATTAATCATTTAGTCTATTACATATTATGTTTTTAATTTCTGTACGTGGGTACAACCTATATTTTTTTTTACTATATACTTGTAGTGTACCTACTTTCTCTCTCTTAATAACTGATTAATCATTCGGTCGGATTAGATTATATCTATAATATTTTGATTTGTCATTAGTTCCTACGTATATTTAATTAGGTTTTTAAATAGGTACATACTATTAAGGATTGCATTGCTAACTAGATCAATTCAATAATTTTTCTACCGGGTACTACCTAAGTTAAATATACAATCCGCATTTTAATTATAATATGCATAGTCCATAAAGTATGCAATTAGAACCAGGTACCAATAGGTACCTATAATATATTATATATATTAGTATTTATAATTTATAAATGATATATTATATAAGGAAAACATTTGACAAATATACATACATACATATAGATAGATACATTATAATGTAGACACGAGCTAATATCTGATGATGATATTATATCTCTGCACATACAAATAAAATTCAAGTATAAAAATTCTTATTAGTTATCACATAATATATTATTTACTAAAGTACTAAAATTATATCTTACTAAAAAATCTAATTTACTTTGCCGTAGTAAGTATAATAATGATAATAAAAAATAATTTCAGAATATCCTTTGGTATGTTACTGTATATTTTTTTACACATTTCATAAAATACCTATTGATTTGTTATAAACGATACTTAGTAACTATTCTTGCGTACTTACAGAATATTTTAAAAAATTAGGTAATACACAAGTAATGTGTACGTAATGAAATGATGTACTGTACAATGAACACGTAACGTTTGCATGATACAAAACTAGGAAAGAATTCGTGTAACCCTACATTTACCAAACATCTGCCGATGATGTTCCCTCGCCGACGTCCCCTTGAAGGCCACGTGCGCACGCGCACAGCAGGGGTAGCGACCGTCGTAAAAGAACACGCGGCACCCCAAATGCGGGCTTCCTAACGACAAAAGATATCACGACCTATCCAATTTTAACTTTAAACATTGGACATAAGGTATAATTTTAAACTTTTCTTGTATACACTAAAATAGATTATTATTTTTAACACTTGGAATGTCAAGGCTCGACCACCATGTGGTTTTCGTTTGGAGACTAGCAGGTGATAACAGTTTCAGTTTTATATAATTACCTACAGCATGTGAAATAAACAGATTATCTTATAGTATGTACAGTCGGTACAGCCTCTGGTAGGTACAGTCAGCTTTATTATTATATTACGTAGGTGATCAATAATAAATTGGCAGCAGCAAATATGTATGTAATGCCAATATATGTATATAAGCCATAATGCGTAAAAGTGCTGCATCACTGATGTCTAGAATTCGGGGGAGCTCAAACAGCATCCTAAAAACTGTTGCGAATATACCTGATTGTCCGCTCCAGAGGCACTGGATAACGTTGCATTGTGGACCCAGTGCTTCTGGACGTGGACACAGATATATAAATTAAATATATCTACGTATATGTATATTATAAGTTACTAACATAGTTTTATAAGTTTTTACTAACACAATATGGATGTAATCCGAATTAAAATTAAATAAATAAATGTCTTAATAGTCTCAAGTATTCGACACGAACAACTAAGTTGTTCACAATAATCGTAATGTAATCGTACATATAAGTTAATAATTTCAATTGTATAGTACTTATTTCATAGCCTTACTTTAAACTGGTGTGATTAAATAAAATTTTTAGATAAATTTGATTTGGTTCTTCAGGTTATTGTGATTATTTAATATATTGAATTATTGTTCGCTAAGATATTAACAACACTCTACTCTACAAACCATATAGAACAGAATGTAGGTATATAATATATGAGAAATTATAAATGCTGAATTATTGCATCAATCTACTAAAATTATTACAAATTTTGTGTTTATTATAGCTTCGAGGCGTTGTTAGGTACCTATTATTAAATTTTATTAAAAACACATCATTAGTGAATAATGATAATGGCTTTCTTTCAATACATAGGTACTGTAAACAAGAATTTTTAATTTTAAAATGTACGATGACAATTATTGATATTAAACATGATAGAGTCATCATACTTTTTAAAACGATTTAGAAAACATTATGTTGATAGCACTGTGGTATCAATAGTAGGTACGGTTCCAAGGCAAGTTTAAATAGGACAAATACTTATTCGTATATAAACTTTACTGTATCCTATTACGTGTCAAATTCTATGATAACTAGCGCCATTGAAGAGGTTCGTGACCATCCAACTATGTGTCGAATGATCTGTCCAGTCCGTAGGTACCTGTATACTGTACTTCATAGTGACGGACACACAGCTCCGTCCGATCTCGTGACTCCGCCTCCGGCCAGAAAAATTCTATTGTGGTTAATGTACCAAATTCCTCATCATTAGTGTACCCAGTCATCGCATCTATCGTCATGCCTACGTTTTGTTTACCATTCCCTTTTTCCACACCTTTAAACTTGCGTGAGAAAACAACGAGAATCTCGTCTCGGCATTTGAAAGTAATGCCATTATATCTTCACATACCAGGAATTTCACGTCCATTATACTCATTTAGATTCATCAGCTAGATTCGTTTAAGAAATTTGTCGCAGCCACGCTTGGAATGTATATAATCGCATTCTATATTTTGGTATCATTAATCATTAGTTAATGTGTACGTTTTATCTATTCAAATACCAAGATCGACACACATATTTCGTTAATTAAGCAATAACATTGTTCTGTTTGTATTGGCGCCCGTCACAGAAATATTTGGCCTGGTATACCTACCGATTTAACTATGCAAATTACATTTATTATTAACACAATATTTGGTCTGTGTTATTCTAGGCGCAAAATGTATTAGATGAAATAGATCCACATGAATAAATATAAATTTTTGACATGGATGCAACACAATGCAATGCAATGAATTAATTTTATAGTTTACTTCTTATTAGATTGTTTCGTATCTCAGCCTTTCCCGACAATAGTGAATAGACAGAAAAATAAATAACACCAACTGCTAAAGAGCTAGACTGATTCAAAGATTCAGAATTCTAAATGTATAATAATAACTGGCTTATATTTATTATATGATGTTGTTTTAAATATTTTATTTTTGAGACAAATTCTTTTATCGTTTATGTATATGTATTTTATGTCTGCGAAAGACTTGGTTAGATTTCCAATATACATACAAATTTATACAAATGCATACAATTTACGCCTAACTATCAGTGCCACGTGCATCTTTTATTTGAAGCTAGATTTAGTGTTTGAATAGGAAAAAAAATAAATGAAAAAGAAATTAATCATCTGAAACGCCAATATTATTATTAAACCGTCAATGTTAACAATGTTTTTATACGTACGAGATTAAACATAGCTAAACCTATTAACAAATCATATTTTTAATACCATATAATTGTTTTCATCATTCATAATTCTTGTGTCATCTCTGATAGAGTTGCCATTGGCTAAGTTCCCGAGCGGTCCCGGTATGCGTTTGACGGCCACCGCCACGTTTCGCAACTCTTTGTTTGATCATCTTACTCCTGGCTTATTTACGTGGTATTTGCGCGACTTGGCGCACGTCTGTTCACCGTCTAGCCGTTAACATGATATTATGAGGAATTTCCGCCAAATCGGTATTTGCATGCCATGCCTTATTGCTTTTCGTCCGAGACATTTCATCCGGCGAGCCAAATATTTTTACGGCCAGACATGAATTCCTTTGACGCATGTAAATTTTAGCGCAGTCTTTGTAATCACATCATTTAAAAATAATGTCACAAACAGAATATTCATAAAGGTTATTATGAATATTGAATATTGTTTGTGACAAAATTATGTATATTGTCACAATAATAGAGTAAATATACTAATAATGGTATACTTGTCTCTTGTAATATATAAGAAAGTAATAAATAATCGTAATGGAGAACGGAGTCGACTGGCTGATTTACTCACTTAGAATGACTATTATTTTTATCATAAATCATAATGAAATTCATAACTATACGTCTACTTTCTCGAAATAATAAGTAATATGTACGCACGTTTCACGGAAATCTACCATCGTTTCTTAACTTCGGTAGTTCATATCCCGGAACATAGCTGCATACAAATCACAGCGATGCTACAAAATTTTATATCATAAACCTGATTAACATTGTAATTACGTCTACATAGTTTCATTACACACACTACGTCCATATTCGAAAATGTTTTTATGTATTTTTTTAACTTATATCAATAATTGAGCTTAAAACCGTGTCTGTTAATTGAAAACCACAAAAAACAAACAAACATAGGGTAAGCTTCGGATTTTGTTTAAGATTTGCAGTTTTGTCCGTGCGAAATGTCTATCTCTCGGTGCTGTGGAAATTCTTTAATAAGTATAGAATACAGCCGAAATAGATTATGAAAGAATGTCTGTTACTGTAAGAGGTTTAAATTATATTATTTTATAAATATACCACACCGTTGATATGTTTCTATGAAATCAGAAGTCATATATTGTGCTTGTAAAAATTGTTGCTGACATCTAAATCCACATCCCCTTTAGATAAGTTGTGTTGATACATATGTTGAGTCTCAATAAATAAAAAAAATATATAGTGTAGATTTACGTGATATTTCTTCAATCATTTTCTGCTTAACAAATATGTGTCTGTCAATAATATTTTATCTGTTTATAATATTAATATTAAAATAGTATCTAAAGGTTTATTTTTATTATCCAGGACATAATGGAGAAAGTAGAATCAGCCCTGGACGTGTTATCAAGAGCAGCCACTATGGTTCAACCATGTCCAGCCTACCCCGCCAGCGATTCCGACAGCTTTGGTAATTATTTTAGATAAATAGAATATTCTTTTATTGCATTGCACAGAAACGAGAAAAATTGCACTGAAACATTTATCAATGCATTTGTATATCATATTGTAATAGGGCGGGCTTATTGTTAAAACATTTTTTTCAAGGCAACCTTATAGTGACCAATATAATTGTGAAATATGTGGGTGACATGCAAATATAAAAGTACATTAGAATAGATATAACTAATGCCCAGAAAATAATACCATTAAATAAATACAGTACCTATATTATAGAGCTATATACAAATAAATATATACGTATTGGAAACCTAAATGTACATAAATAAATAGATACATAAATTAAACTTTAAAATATTTTTTAAATAATTGGTAATTTTTAAATATTGTTAATTTAATAGTTAATTGTTTTTTTCTGTATAAAGAATGTATGGGTTTGTAATTTTCTAGCAAATCTGTTTCATGTTCTGTAACGTTTATGATAATGTCATAGTTAAATAATAAGTAGATATTATTAAATGCATCGCAAGTCGTTGCACTGGGGAGCTAGTATTACCTATATTTTTTATATAGTCTATATATCGTGATGATCTATTAAAATTCTAGGTCAAATCTAAATGAAACTCGAAAGAATGAAAATTCAATGAAAGAAAAGAGAAATATTTTGATTTTGTTTTAATTTTTTAGTTTACTATTTATTTGTTCATTCTTGAATAGTTTTCATTGTAGTATATATATACGACCCAACTTCTATGTTTTTACACTATGGATATGAAGCTATGTGTATATGTATACTTATTATACATATTTTATTAAATATTATTCCAGCTGGACTACCATTAATTGACTGCTTGGTATTCGTAATCGTGGAAAGCACAGCAAAGTTTACGTTTCATCCAAATATAAACCCACATGTTTTGTAAAAAAAAGTTGATTGGAATTCAATGATTACAATAACCTACGCCTACATCTGTTAAGACGATATGAATAATTATATACAACATAAAATTATTTATATGTATTTATTGGAACACTTTTGCCTAAAGGATCAATTTGAATTATTTATTTATAATAATGAAAAGCGACTGTAAAAATAAAAGTATAGGACAAACAACAGGAGGGAAGTAATCATTAAAACTTGTATTGTTATTTTTAAATTATTGTATAAATGTGTTTACACTTTGATACAGGAATAGTGGTAAGTTTTGCTCTGTGAGTATTGTTATCGTCTTACCTATGCCTATTTACTTTGTATGTGTGCGTGATGAGGAAATTCCTGACATTATACATATGAAATATCATACATTCAGTTAGCACTACACATTCAGATCAGATTTATACACGTGAATTATGCAAACATCATTCGATTTCGTCGAAATTCTAAGTAATGGCTTTATTGAAAGATTCTACAATAATCAAAGTGGCTTTGTGCGTTGTACGATTATATAGGAATTTGACGAAATAATTTGTATTTACAAATGTACCTACTAAACATACAGGTCATACGGCAAACGATATCGTTTTATAATAAAATTTAAGTGAAGTACTGTTAAAATTTTTTTTTTAAATGATATGAACGTTATACATGTAAAATAAACCTCTGCTTCTTTCTCAGCTTTTGCTTAGTAGTTTTGGGTACGCGTTGATAATGGTAAGAGAACCGATTTTATAAGTGTGGACAAAATATATACAGCGATTAAAAGTAATTTGTTAATCAGTATGGTCAATAAATGAAAAGTATGGCTTCCGTGCTACGATGTCCACGACGCGGCGAAGCGGGCTGTAGGCGGGTCGCATTCCTGAGTCTGACTCGCAATGCTCAATCGTCATCCTATTCCGGCCAGTATAATAATGTGTTATTGTAATATTGCCGACATAATTATCTTTACCTTTTACTGTATAGTCCACATGATGTGTCTGTCAAATGTTTTAAATGTAATCGCAATACTTTTCATTGCCCTGCCTATATCCACGTTATTATAGAAGTTTTCCTATATTTTACATGATAAGTAATATATTCAACCTAAACCATAATAGTATGTCTACGCAACTGTAAGTCGCGTCTGTATCAAAACGAGTTTAGTGAAGCGGACCTTCCTCTCTAAAGGAGACACAAAGATCCCATTGTCCAAACAAATTCGCGACAAAGTTTCTTTCACGATTTGAGCGCAATTCCTCAATGACCACTGCCGGAATAAAACTGTCAGGCGATTGTTTTAACTTTTTTTAGCTGCTTACTGTGCACTCGACCAAGACATCCGGGTACAAATATCTTTCCGACAAATTTGAGAATCATCTAAAGTCAACAGCGTCTAACCTCGGAAACAATTATTATACATTAATCTCGGAATCAATTATACAGTAATAAGACCATTCGCTAAAACAACTCAACAATGGAGTTAAGTCTAGTTGGGAAAGCCAGCTTTCTGAGACTCGAGAATAGCAGACGTGAAACGCGTCCCGCGAGAATTTCGCCGACCCACAATCTAACAATCAATCCGGTTTGCATCCCTCAGCAGAATTATCTTAGTGCCTGAAGTTCCAATACTCACATGATCGTCTCTAAACAATTAAGTAATAATTAAAAAAATATAAGTCTTTGACGTTTATTATAAAACTAGTGACCTATGTCGGCTTTTCGGGAGTTCAATTATTGTAGTCAACTCTAATATTTTTTTGGGAATAAAAATGTAGATTTTTTTAGGTGGTAGAAGTTTAAAAATAGCTTTGGTTTTTTATTATTTTTTTATTACAAACAAAAATTTACATCTTTTCTCTTGATAATGTTAGTTTAGAAAATGAACTGCACCTATTCAAAGTAATGGAAATCTAACTATCAGCATAAATGCTAAACATAATAATTTAAAAAATAACCAAATCAACTTTGTGATGCAAATTGCTGTTGCTTTTGTGCATATCTAATCAAAATACGATCACGCAATTTGTTCAATGATATTTCTTGACTGTTTACAAACATTGTTGCTTGTATCGTTGATAATTATGCAACACGATGACAGCAAAGACGCGCGCCGGCACTCACTTTCGTTGCGCTGCGTGCGATGTGGCCGCACTAGCCGCAGCAATGGCATGCGTGCGACACTGCCAGAGAAAGCGATCAGGAATTTGGTCGGACCACTGCTCTCTACCTCCACCAACAAATCCACTATGCATTCTAATACAAGGCCGCGTAAATTCGTTGCAAACCTCTCCGGATACTTTATATCTTCTGACGTTACAGCTGCTTTAGACTGATGAACCTTCAATTAACCGAATATGACTACATATTCGGAAATGAGTATTGAAATATTCGGTACTTAATTTTATTCACAGCCTCTATGACGGATATCATGTAACTTTAAAAAAATTACTGTGAGTCGCTATCCGTTTACATACATCTTCATAATCGGACAAAATTTCTAAATGAAATGATTCCACACAGAAAGTATAGCTACATATGCTATTATGCAAGTAAAAACGTGTGATCAGAAATGCAAAACAAATAGTTTTTTTTTTCAATGTTTTATGACAAATGTATAAAAAGTTCTTTTTGTCAGTAAATTTTGTCATTTTATATAACCCTAAAAATTACCAATTGTAAGCTTTCATCACTCCTATAACAGCTACTAACAACTTAATAACTATTAATGTAATCTAGACTGTATTGACTGCACATAAGTCTCTTATTGAGCTCATTGTTCCTAATGCTATGGCTATGGTCGCTCGAGCTCCGCACAGATGCACAGAAGCTACCTGGTATATTCAAAGGCTAGACGAAATGACCTTACTATTCCAAAGATTTTTGCACGATAGAAAACTACTACTATAGAGTCTAGGATTACGTTAAGTATAGAATTTCCAGTTCAAATCAGTTGGTATAGAAAGCAGTCGGCTGTCTGGGGCACCTATTGTGTACAATTGTACGATACGATAGATAGTAATTATCCAGCAGCCAGTAAGTTTTATCATTGATATCATATTCCATACTGAGGTTATTATAAATGTTGAAAATCATCAGTACATAATTAGCAATTCTCGTTTAGCTTTTTTGCTTGTAATATGTGTTAGGTACGTGAGCTTTTGTATTGAAATGGATCTTTAAAAAATCTACACGCGATTATTTCGGCGTTTGCACGCATTCATAGATTCTCTGTCCATTGGTAAAACTACCAATTGTATAAAGGAATACCCATATTCTATAAATATAGAATAAGGGTATTAATTTATACAATAACTTGTGTATTTACTGATTTATCATATATGAATCAAAAACAATACTTTGAGAAACCGCGTTTACAGCTCTCTAGAAATGCAATGATTGAAATTTTATTACCTTTATTGAATTGAAATGGGTTCTATTATGATTGATATTGGGGTGAATGTGGCATGCACGTATATATCCGGAACGCAGAGGCGGCGTGTTACGGTTTCGAAAAGAATGCAGAATGTAGGTTGCGTTGCGGACTACACTACAGTTACGAACACTCTCAGGTATGCAACCGATGATAACTATTGTTTTCAGAATGGACTTTTATATGTATCAGACAATCAAATAGTGCTCGCAAACAACCCACTAACGAGAGGTAAACCAGATGCCAAAAACTAATGGAAAAACACGCCCTGAAGGATCGGTGTAATTTAGACATTTCAAATTACACTGTGCCTTTGTGTTTTGAAATGAGGCTGTACGATTCGTCTATAAGTGTAAGTTTTCATCGGAATGATCAAGTAATATGTAAATAGAAATTTTCTACAACGAGTATCAAAATGTAATGTCTATAGAAATTCATTATGTAGACACTAATAAAACTTCCGTCTCCTATGAAAACAATATCTTGTACCTACCTAAACAACATTAAATATTAATATTAACAATATTATTAATATTAATACAGCAATGCAATTATATAATATGAATTCGAAACGTAAATATCTTTTTGTTTTCCGTCAACTAATTGAGACAATATAAATTACCATGGCAACAACAATGTCAGGTCTTATAGCTGATGTATT